TGGCTGGCTGGTGCCTACTCTTCCTTCCAAGTTTCCATTCAAATGCCACTCTCTCCAAGAATCCAGTGTAAGTGCCCTGCGCTGTTTCAGAATTCTGTATTTCCATAGTAGCACTCCTCACTTTCTGTTTCATCTCCTTCTTTTGAAAGTCTGGCTTGCAAAGTAAATACAGTACATCTGTCTTGTTCTTTACTGTCCTGCCCCAGAGCTGACATTCCATAATACATTATTCGATAAGTCATAGTGGAGAAATATAATTTTGAAACTAATCGTAGCATATAATGTTCATTATAGATAAAACAGCAGGTGTTGCACACAGTCCTTTATGCTGAAATCTAATTTACACTGTAATCCTATGAAAGCCATTTCCTAACTTTAATGTCAAACAACAAACGGAGCTTGAGCGGTGGCTCTGTGATTAAGAATATTTGCTATTGTGCAAAGCAACAGGTGTGCACACGGTATGTATACATGCATGCAAACAAAACACTGATGCACATAAAATTAAAAACAAAATAAATAAATCTTAATGTGAAGAAAGAAAGCTTTTTTTTTTTTTTGGTTTTTTTGAGACAGGGTTTCTCTGTGTAGCTTTGGAGCCTATCCTGGCACTCACTCTGGAGACCAGGCTGGCTTTGAACTAACAGAAATCCGTCTGCTTCTGCCTCCCGAGTGCTGGGATTAAAGGTGTGCACCACCAACACCCGGCCGAAAGAAAGTTTTTTAAGAGACTTATTTATTCATGTATTTTACGCATATGAGTGTTCTGTCTTCATGCATATCAGAAGAAGTAATCTGACCCATTACAGATGGTTGTGAGCCACCATGTGGGTACTGGGTATTGAACTCAGAACCTCTGGAAGAGCAGTCAGTGCTCTTAACCTCTGAGCCATCTCTCCAGGCTCCAGGTTTTGAACAGGAAGTAACACTCAATGTCACACAGCTCACATAAACCCAAAGGCTTGGAGGAGTTGGGAAACAAACTCTCTAAGTGACAAAACAAAAGTAAAAATAGGTCCTGAGTAGAGAGATCTAGAATAAGGAGGCAATTGAGAAAGTGATAAAGGGGATGAAATGAAGTGGTAAAAGAATTCTCAGACAGTAGGGAAAACAGCCTGAGGTACCAGTTGTTAAAGGATAACACAAATTACCCTCAAATAAGAAAGAATTCCAAATAAATGTACATTATTGACTTCGTTACGTGGCATTCTCATTTAGTTTTTATGGCATTTATTAATGTCAGTTCAGCGCCTGGCACAACGATTTGCATTGTGATACAGAGTGGCTTACGAAAGACATTATTTTCACTTTTTACTGACAAAACTGAGGCTGTGAGCCAACTGTCACTTGAAGAAGTCACAGATGGTAAATCTTGAGATCGGATTTGTTCCAGGGCCTCTGACTCAGTGTTTAATGTTCTTGACACTGTACACTGGCAAACTTCCCAGCAGGTCAGTCAATCACGGCATGCAAATGTGCAGAGGACCTGATACCTTAAAAGGATTTTATGTGGCCATCAGAGTGCATGGTGGCATGCACATGAGATTGAAGGACAATTTTTAGGGGGCTTATTTTTTAAAAATAAAATCCAATAAATAGTATCTTTTCTTACATTACTTTCAATTAAAATTTAACATAAAATATAAAATCAGATTTGCATTAACTTCAAAGAGACTAAAATGTTATAAATAAAAGCAATCATTTTACTAAAATAAGCAAAACAAATTTGCTAAAATATTATCAGAGTAAGAAGTACAAGATCCTAAGAATACTTTATTTGTAAGACAGCTTGATCTATAGCATAAAAACAGGAGAAAAATGATTTTTTATGATACCTCATTGAACTCTATATTTTCTTTCTATGAAGGAAGAAATCCTAGTCTGTCCCCCACCTCCTAGACCCAGCATCCTTTATCTGAACTGATAACAGAGGTCCCCACCCACCCAAAGCCTAGCATCCTTTATCTAAATTGAGTACCACACACTCTAAGGCAGCACTGCTATTCAGTGGCCATAGCTGCCGTACACAGACACAGGGAGGACAGGTTGAGGGCTGGATGCTCACAAGTTAAGAGCATCTCTGTTCTTGCAGAAGATCTGAGTTGGGACCTGGTATGTCACAACCACACATAACTCCAGTTTGAGAGGATCCTTTTTCTGGCCTCTGCAAGTAGTAGGCACACACATGGTACATATACACACATGTAGGCAAAACACACATTGCATAAAAATAAAAACAAAAACAAATCTTTAAAATGGGCTGAGCTGGTAAGGAGAGGAATCAGTAACTACAAATACTGTAGGGCAGCTGGTGATAATTCAAAAGCTACTGGAAAATTTACAAGAATTTAAAATAATATAATTTGATAAAGAAGTGCCTATATAATCATTTGTGCGCATCCCCTCTCTTACACACACACACACACACACACTCACACAGACACACGAGGAAATGAAACAAGTTTAAAACAACATTAAAAAATAAACTAAATAAAACTTCTGCAACCTAGTTATCAAGGCAGCAAGTCTTCTAAAATTAGTTAAATAAAAATCTTAGCATAAAATATTTTCTATTATATATATTTTTGTGCTTTCCATGGCTAATTCCCCTATAATACCCCTTTTTCAAAACAAAGGATTTTGTTTTGTATTTTTTCAGACAGGGTCTCACTTTGTAGCTTTGACTGGTTTAGAACTTGCTATGAAGCCCAGGAATGGCCCTGACATGGCAATCTCCTGCCTCAGCCTCACCTGCTGGAATTACAGGTGTGTGCCACCATACGAAGTAAGATAAAGCTTTACAAAAGACTCATATCAACAGAGTTGAAAAAGAGTTCCACAGCAAGGGCCAGTTTTTGTGCACAGAAGATTCTCCAGTGAGAGTCAGGGATGGAGGATGGAGGATGTCAGTAAGAAGCCATGTTTACCTCTGCCCACGCCTTGAGGACCGCCAGCTTCTCCATGGTGGTGGCACTCTCTCGATACAGTTGGCTGGAAGATCCCTTTCCAGCCTGAACTTTGTCCAGAGAGGAAACGAGCAGATTATGTACCCGACGGAGATCATTGAGATCGCTGACAACGCCACTTCCAATCCACGTGCTGCACACCTAGCCAAGGGACGTTTAAAGTTATTGTGCATGGAGAGTAACTCTGCATAGAGAGGGAAATGGGTTTCATTATATCCCTGCACAGGGGAGAATAAAAAAGCTCATTCTATCCCTCTGAAGACTATAAAGTGGCACTAAGTTTCCACAGGGTTTTGCCATGTGTTACAGGCTAGTCTTGAACTAATCTCCCAAGTGCAGTAATTAAAAGTGTGCAGATTCCATGTTTCTACTGTTTAACAAAAAATTTAAAATAAGTGGTTTTTTTTTTTTTTTTACCAAAAGTAGTTCAGTCTTGAAAACTTCTTCAACAAAATATATTTACCAAACTAGTTATTGTGAAAGTATTTTAAAAAGGGAAAAGGAACAAAATAAATTATCTGTTTATCCAACTAGCTATTGTGAAAGTTTTTTTTTTTTTTTTTTTTTTTTAAGGGAAAAAACTACAGTACTACGACTGCAAGTACACTTGATGCTGCTTGGAAGTAAGGACAGTTTGTTGTAAGGACACAGGGATGTAAAATGGGGGAGAAATGAAGATCAGGAAAGCTGAGGTCAGAAAGGACAAAGTCTAAATATCCTACTTACTAAAATCAGATGATGGCCACGAGTTTTCAAGGACACGGGGTTATGAGTTGCCAAGCATCTTTGGCTTTAGATTTATGCTTTAGCAAAACCATATATAGGACAATAAACAGCATGTCTATTAAAGTACTGCATAAGACAGAAATGACATGGATGGAACTGGAAACAAAATGAGGTAAAGGGAAACATGGAGACAAAAATTACAGGATGTAGACACCATTTAATTAGGGCACGAGACAGTGAGGTGCAAAAGAATAAGGAATCAAAAATATTAAACTTTGTCAAAGCTCCTCACTTGGAAGAACAGAAGGGAAGTGACACCAATGTTAGGAGCACTAATACAAAAACTAGGAAAGTTCAGTGGAGAGCCATTAGCATGGTTTGAATTCCAAACATTTTCACATGTGAGCTTTAAGTAGCACTGAGAGACTTGTGGACAGACATTCAGCAGACCATGGGAAACTCTGCTTTAGATTCCAGAGCAAGCAGAAGATAACTATGTAAGATTAGGCACTTCTACATAAAGGCAATTACTAAATTAAGATTATGACACAGATTTGTTTAGGGAGAGAATATCTTTTTGTTTGTTTTTGGTTTTTTCAAGACAGGGTTTCTCTATATAACAGTCCTGGAACTCACTTTGAAGACCAGGCTGGCCTTGTTCTCATTGAAATTCCCCTGCCTCTGCCTCCTGAGTGCTGGGATTAAAGGTGTGCACAGCCACCACCTGGTTAGGAGAGAATATCTTAAAAGCCTTACATCCAGACAACAGAGAAGTTGGTATACTTAAAAGTCAAGTGGACAACAGAAATAAATTGAAACCCAGGAAAACCACATGAGGCCAGACACTGGAGTCAAGAGAAGGATGCCATCTGGGAAGAAGACTAGACAGACTAGCTTTGGCAACTACTTCTGGGTAAAAGGGACGAAGTCACAGGAACCTCGTCAGGGAACACAGGTGGGAAGGATTGGGACTGCACCATACAGGGGACACATGGACATTTCTAGTAGGGCATTCATTAGGTATCACTCTCAGAGATAAATTAATATTAAAACCTCATTAGGCTTTGTGTGTAAATAAGTGCAGTGAGCTTGGGTTTTGCTGCCAAATAGATTATAAAACCCCTCGAGTATTGTGGAGTATTTGGGTTTCAAATCATGGCTAATGGACTTGTGTTCCTTAATTTAAATCCTTAAAAGCTGTTACTAAAAATTTATATCAACAATTTTATTCACTTAAAATCTTATTTTCAGCTGGGCAGTGGTGGTGTCTTTAATTCTAGCACTTGGGAGGCAGAGGCAGTTGGATCTCTGTGAGTTCAAGGTCAGCCTGGTCTAAAGAGTACGTTCCAGGGCAGCCAGGGCAACACAGAGAAACCTTGTCTCAAAAAACCAAACCAAATGACTGGCATTGGTGGTGCTTGCCTTTAATCCCAGCACTCAGGAGGCAGAGGCAGGCAGATGTCTGCGAGTTCGAGGCGAGCCTGGTCTCCAGAGCGAGTGCCAGGATAGGCTCCAAAGCTACACAGAGAAACCCTGTCTCAAAAAACAAACAAACAAACAAAAAAACCAAACCAAAGCAAACAGAAATCATAGTTTCAAAAACTGAAAAATAAGTTTAATAATAATAAAAACACTTAAAAACAGATGGTTATTAAGGACATACTTCTGACAAAATAAGTTGTCAACCAAAATAATTCTGCAAATAGGAAGTTCTAAGTTATATGCAATACAATAGAAATGCTAAAAGGAAGAAAGGAGTTGATTCCTAAAGAAACTAAACATACTGGAGAGAGAGAATATTTTTCTGCAATTTGGCTGAAATGTTACTAAAAAGTCAGGCAAATCTGTGAATACCAGAAATTTAGCCCTAAGCTTTCCTTGTGAAAATCCTAAGTACTTCTATTTTAAAGAGCCTAGGGCAGCTGTTCTCAGCCTGTGGGTTATTACCCCTTTGACGAACCTCTATCTTCAAAAATATTCACATTATGATTCATAACAACAGCAAACTACAGTTATCAAGTAGCAACAAAAAGTTTTGTGGTTGGGGGTCACCACAACATGAAGAACTGTATTAAAGGGTTATGGCATTAGGAAGGTTGAGAGTCACTGCTGTGGAGGCTGGAGAGATGGCTTAGTGGTTAAGAGTTCTTGCTGTTCTTGTACAGGACTGGATTTTGGTTCCTAACACCCATGTCAGGAAGCTCATGACTGTCCATAACTACATCTCTGGTGCTCTGATGCACCCATACATGTGCAAGCATACATATATACAGATACACACACAGAAATAGAAAATATAAATGAATTTTCAATAAGATTTTATACCTAGAAATTGCAAGTAATGCTTTATGGATTTGTTTATTAAGGAAGACAATGTAGTGATGGTTCAACAAAACCATATTCAGACAAAGACCTTGACCTTACCAGGCATGGAAGTGTACATTCACACATTTTAGGCTCCAGTGAAATATTAAAGGCTGCATTGCTTGTGACTCTGCTCCTTCTTCAATTGAGACTTCTGCTGGTTCACAGAAACACCCAGGTGTACTACATGTGAGGCTTTCTCCTGCCTGTCTAGGGATCACCCTGATTTAAAGCTTCTTAAGGTGAAGTTATTCTCAGCAACAAAACAGAGCCTTCTGAGCCATTCCTTCGGCCATTCCCTCCTTTCTATACTGTAAAAGACTACAGCTCACCAACCCGCCAGTCTATACCTAGCTGTCTCTATGTTCTTCCATTAGCTCCCTTTATGATGTTCATAGGTCCATCCACTTGGAGATAACGTACCAAAGTATCCAAAGCCAAATCCTGAGCTAGCAGAAAAGGGTTGTGATTACACTTCCTATAAAACACAAAAGCAAAAGATGGGGGGTGGGGGTGAGATGGCTTAGCTGGTAAAGGTGCTCACCACCAGGATGACGATCTGAGTGATCTGAGTGGGACTCCACACAGAGGAGCAGTCAACCATCCTCCAAGCTGTCCTGACTGCCACATGAGTGCTACGCCACATATACATCAAATAAATGAGTGAATGTATAATTTAATTTAAAAGTTAAAAAAAAAAGGAACGAGCACTATTGTATTTCCAAGATAAAACAATCTGATTTTCCCTGTAAGCAAACTTGAAGACCTTGAGGATGTATAGAAGGCAGCCATAGGAAGCCTGCTTTCTTCTTACCTGGCAAGCTTTTGCTATTATATCTGACGGTGTGTCTTGTGAGAAGGCTGGTCTTAGGGCAGCTCCCACCTAGAAAAAATGAGCAAATCATTTATTATAGAGGCAAGCAGTAAATTTTGTGTCACTGGAGATTAAAACACCAAACACTCATCTTTGTTTCTTTCTTCTTTGTCCCCACCTTCTTAGCACTTTCCATTACAGTAAGATTAACTATGGTTACATTTTTCTTTGCTTCTCAGGAAGCTATCAATATCAAGTCTGTATGGAAAGTACACCTACAGGGCAATCTTGTTTCCTTTGCTTTTGTTTTTGTTTAATAGTAAATGGGACTTTCTGAAAGAGTCACATGTTGTCAAAGATAACCAAAGACTGTTACATTTTTTGTTTCCTCCTCACCTCCTGATCCCATATATATTTTCTTTTCTTTCTTTCTTTCTTTCTTTCTTTCTTTCTTTCTTTCTTTCTTTCTTTCTTTCTTTTTTTTTTTTGGTTTTTCGAGACAGGGTTTCTATGTGGCTTTGGATGCAGTCCTGGAACTAGCTCTTGTATATATATATTTTCTAAACATATTTCTAACAGCATTTATGTACCTCTTGAGTAAATCTCAGTAACTGGATCAATTTACTTAAATAAGTGAGGAATTATAAATATTCAGAGGCACTGAAGTACCTCGAAGACTATTGCACCTCACAAAAGATGCTTTAAGACTGCTTGAAACCATTAGTGTTTAGGGGACCAGCTCAGTGGGTGAAGGCGCCACCAAGCAAGCTAGACAATCTGAACTGATCCCTGGGAACTCATTGAAAGGAGAGAACTGATACTTGAAGACTGTCCTCTGCCCCTATTCATGCATTTATGTGTGCACACGTGTGCGCGTGCACACACACTCACCATACACACAATAAGAAGTAATAATATGTTGTTGATTAGTTTTATTTTAATATACCAATAAGTAAAGGAATACAAGTTTTAGTTTCAAGGAAGCCAACATCAGCCATGGATTGATTCTTAGATGGATGATGAGATTTAATGTGTGTGTACTGTTCCTAAGTTGAGCTTTCTACCAAAAGTCACTAAGTTGTCTGGAGACAATCAAAAGTCCCTTCCTGTAATTAAAGATGTATGGCAACTAACCACAGCATGTGAACTGGCACTGAAGGAGAACAGAAACTATAAAGTTAAGTGGGTCACTGACAAAATGATTATGGCAGATTTAATAAAAGCAAAGACTCAATACTGAATTTCCAGTTATTAAAACTGTTCTGTGGTTACATAAGACAACGTTCTCATCCTTTAGGAATATAGTCCAAATGGCTCAAGGGTAACAACACATGACTAAAGTAATTTATCTTGATTTAGAAAAAAACTATATTATATAATGTATGTCTGTGGGAAGAGAAAGAGACACAGAAGGGAGAAGAAAGGAAGAGAAAGTCAACTTTTATTCAAATGGATCAAAATGAGCAGTAGCCAAACATGGGAAAGGATGCCAAACAGTTTTGGAATAGTTTCCTGACTATTTAAAATTATTTCTAAATAAAAATATTTTAGGGGTTGGAGAGATGGCTCAGTAGTTGGGAGCACTCCCACACAGACCCTCATTGTAGTAAACAAGTGTGTCCAGCCACTAAAGCTCTACCTTCCTCACCCATTTTTAAGCGGTTGTTTATTACTCACAGGTATAATTTTGGGCACATTTCAACACAGCTTTATTTATTTATTCACTTGGGTTTTTTGAGACAGGGTTTCTCTGTGTAGCCCTGGCTGTCCTAGAACTCACTATGTAAACCAGGCTGGCCTCAAACTCACAGACATCCTCCTGTCTCTGCCTCTAGAGGGCTGGGATTAAAGGCATGAACTACCATTGAGCTTGAATGAAGCTTTCAGACAAGATATTGTATATCTGGAACTAAGCTTTATAATAATTTCAGTTAAAAAAAGACTTCCATTTTGCTTGCTAACAGAACTTTCCCTCTAACTTTCACACAGCCTTTCCCTCATTATTAGGGAGTAGTTCATGGTGTGTCTGAATCTTCGAGTACAAATCTCAGGGAAAACAAGTTTATCTGTCTAGGGTGCAGTGAAAATAATCTCTTGAAACTCTGCTTTTTCTTTTTCTTTTTTTAAACAGGGGAGAGCATGAACGAAGTCCCCCACTACCACAAATTATGCAGTTGAGTTTCCCGAATTTGGGGAAATCGCAGAGGTCAGTATATCCGGAGTGCAAAGGATAAGCCTCGCCCTGGGAAAACCACCTTCGTGATCATAGTATCTCCCCTGCCAGGTAAGTATGAAACTCTGCTTTTTCAGTAATCCCTTTGATGGCTACTATTAGGGGTCATCTCCTCACTCAGTTTACAAGAGAAATTTGCTTTTTTTTGGTTTTTCGAGACAGGGTTTCTCTGTGTAGCTTTGGAGCCTATCCTTCCTGGCACTTGCTTCGGAGAACAGGCTGGCCTAGAACTCACAGAGATCTGCCCACCTCTGCCTCCCGAGTGATGGGATTAAAGGCATGTGCCACCAACGCCCGGCCGAGAAATTTGCTTTTATTTCTAAAACTGTTCATCACGCCAAACACACAGAGGTAGCAAATCTGCAACTTCTGTGAATGCTGTCTTTATCTTTTAAATGACATGGCACGGCTAAATAGCTAAGCACAAGACTGGAAAGCAATGCTGGAATTTCTATTCTAGTTTTATCATTACTATGCTAACACAACTTAAAAATAGTTACAACAGTTTGACCCTTCTCCAGTTGTGGGTGGATTGAAGCTATGAAACAGATCCTAAAGGTTTGAGTTCCATATGAAGAGACTGCAGTCCCTCCTTTGGTGGCCTTCACAAACTCCATCCGGCCTGTAAATAAGCAGCAAAACTCACATTAGCTTGATACTGCTCCAGGATCACATGACCTGGGAATTCTGGCTCAGGCACAGATGCAAATTTCTTGATAATGTCTTCAAGTGCCTGGAGCCCGGCCATTCGCAGTTGGTTGCTATGATCAGTTGCAGCCATGAATGCCATGCGAATCAGGTCAGAGAGATGCAGTACTAAGAGGTCATCTGCAAAGGAAGACAGAACTCAGATGGGAATGCTCACCCAAACTAGGGTGATAACATAAAAATACGAAACCGACTGTTTTTGCCTCTGCAGGCCATATCATCTCCAAGGAAATTACTCAGCTCTGCTGTCACACCATGAAAGCAGCCCAACAGTACCTACAGAATACAATACACAGTGCTACCAAAAAGAGTAAACTATTTACGAAAAGTGGCTGTGGGTTGCATTTTATCACAGGCCATAGCCTGCCAGTCTCTATTGTAGAAAAAAAACAGTGTGTAGTCAGGAAATTTGGTCTACAAAAATATTTTTAAAAAGCTTTTTATGAGAATAGAGTGGGAAGGGAGTCTTGATCTTTTAGCACTAGGGCGAAGGTAACCCCAGATCTTGCTTAAATGCAAGTCTCAGAGGAATTCAAATAACACAAAGTACAATAATTTTACTAAATCCCAGGACAAAGTTCAGCACAATTTAAAGGAACAACAAAATCCAGCACTAGCTACACAGCATTTACGTTGTACGGCATCCGATGACAAGTATCAAGAATGCAAAGATGTAAAGAAACACAGCCCCTAACAGAAAGAAAGAATCAACAACCAGAAACTGGTTCAGATATGAAAGTCAGAATTAGCAGCAAAGATTTTACAGCAGCTGCTGTACACTGCCTCTGCCAAATAGGAAACGGGGAACATGAACACATGAACAAGGAGGAATGTGGGCCTGTAAGACATAAAATATAACAGAAAAGATGCTGGGTAAGATTAGGACAACTTGGGCACTAAAGGTCAACGAACTTAAAACACACAGCAACAGATACTACTTGGAGAGATGATCAAACTCAGCTGTGCTACAGTACAGAAGGCTGGAGGCAGTCCCTTTAAACCCCACCCTAGAGCTATTTAAAGTGGGCTTTGTTGTTACTATTGAAAAGGCAACAAGACACATTTCTTCAAGTTCCTATTAAAAAAAACAACTTTAACATTTCAAGTTGAAAGAGTATATGTTGGGTAGAGGGCACTGAAAGCGAAGAGAGAGAGAAGAGAATTTGACTAGAATCTCCAAAGCAGCCTCATCTAGAGGAGGTTAAAAACCAGCCTTGTGAGGCATAACAAGCCGATACCAGAGTTTGGGAGAAGATATCCCAGGCAGGAGAATATGAATTAAAATGGCTCTACTCATGCTGTGTCAACAAAAACATAAATAAAAAGACAATTTCGCCAGTACTCTCTGCCACCTGATTCACAAGGTCTAGGAATCTATCAAACTCCACATTAAACATTTGTCCCTGAAATGAGAGCTTCTTTCCCCAACTACCCATAAACCCCTCTATCTTTTTTTCTAAAATGTAAGATGAATATGTAAAGGGTAGAAATGGAAAGAGGGGCTGGGTAGAAACTGCAACATGGGAGGAGAACCAGGGGGTTGGGAGGGTTTACCGTAGTCTGGGAGTAGTCACTCCTATAACTAAAGAAGAGTACATAGGTGATGAGGATGCCATCCAAAGGGCCAGGAAAACACAGGTACTGTGCAGAGTTAGCTCATGTTTCATGCTAGAATCTAAGCTGGATCCTATGAGACCATCTTACCATCCAGCCATGCTGTGACGTACCCACTGAGCAAAGAGCCCATGCAGATCCATGGGGAATTACCCCACACAGTACCATACTGCAAGCAGACTGCAAGCATGAAGAGCATTCTCCTCTTCGATTAAATATGTAATGCACAGTCTAAAGCTGCCATGCCGCAGAGGAGTGAAATACCTGAAACCTATCAGAAATACTTTTGGAGAAAAAAATAAGTGATTTTGCATTTACTTTTAGGGTTCCGTAGTTTAGCAGAACGCGCCATGGCAAGGTCGAAGTGAGCCTGGTCTGAATTCTCACACAGATTAATAATGCGACACAAGCAATCCGCAGCAAATACCCGAGTGGCCCAGCGAGGAGCCACAAAAGGCTTCGATTTGTCTTCCTCGCCGAGTGTAGTAAACATGGTATCGTCATCCATCTCATCTTTCTTTTCAGATTCTTCATCTTTCCCACTGCTTAAGAGTGTTGCTGTACTCATGTCTACAACAAAAATGGAGAACACGTGACTCCTCCCATCAAGATGCTTCAGAAAGACTGCTGATTCTCATCCTCTAAGAACTGACAAGCTTCTTCTGAATGGAAAACCAGTAAGACGTAACATCAATTAATCTTACATACTCTCATTTGCATGTTTAAATAGTATTATATACCATGTCATAGTAGAGTACCCTGGGATTTTTAAGATGTAAAAATTTAAGTCAAACATTCAAAAAGCTTAAAATATATTTCAAAACCATATTCACTTATAGTATGATTTAACCTTCAACATTTTACAGGGATTTGTGGATGAAAACTATCAAAACTTTTAAAAGTGGGCTAAAATTAATATAGACATATATCTACGCTTATGTGTCAGAAGCAAGATGATTTTCATTATTTTAAGACCATTATTTAAAGACATACCACTAGAAGCTGCCAAGACGTCTTTACAAAGCATTAGCCAGTGGGAGAGCTTTTCCACTGCCAATGAAGAGAGCATGTGTCCCAGTGTGTCATGAATATCAGAACACAGTTTTCGGTCTGTCTCTCGATCTAGCATTCCAAACAGAAGGCCCTCAAGCCCCGTGTCTGTTATATTAACACCCTGGTGCCGGCAATGGATATCACCTCGATGACTAACTCCAGGCAAGAAAGGACTGACATCTGAAAAGGAATTTCACAAGAGAGTTTGTATGAGACGTTGTATGCTGTATGTAGTAATGACATTGAAGACCAAGCCTAACACATGTCTCACAATGCCAAGAAAATCACCTGTAAATGACTTTTAACTATGATCTACACTTACATATTTAGGGTTAAAATTTAATCTGACTATAAGGGTAAACCCCTGGTTTCTAAAACTGATCATTCTGTACTCTTAGAAATATGAACGTTTTCAGCTGGTTCTGGTGGCACACGCCTTTAATCCCAGAGCACTCAAGAGGCAGAGGCAGGCAGATCTCTGGAAGTTTGAGACTAGCCTGCTCTACAGAGCAAGTTCCAGGATAGCCAAGACTGTTACACAGAGAAACTCTGTCTTGAAAAACCAAAGAAGAAGAAGAGAAGAAGAAGGAGGAGGAGGAAGAGGAAGAAGAAGGAGGAAGGAGGAAGGAGGAAGGAGGAAGAAGAAGGAAGAAGAAGAAGAAGAAGAAGAAGAAGAAGAAGAAGAAGAAGAAGAAGAAGAAGAAGAAGGAAGATGAAGGAAGAAGAAAAAGAAGAGAAGAGAAGAGAAAGGAGAGAAGAAAAGAAAGAAAGGAAGGAAGAAAGAAAGAAAGAAAGAAAGAAAGGAGGAAGGAAGCAATATGACAGCTTTTAAACAGTGACTATTGACCAATCAGAAAACTCACTGGCACCACCACTCTCTTTGTCCCCTGCATTCTTCGCCAGGCTCATGGCATATTCACACACTTCTGCTGCTTCTCTCTGTGCAAGCTGCCGGAGACAGGCCACAGCTGCTCGTCGAAGTAACAGGTGGGAGCTGCACAGATGAACCTGTCAGCATAACAATTGAAGGACAGTCTTTATGTGAACTTATCCTTGGGAAGCCTCACTTCTGCAGGAGTTCCTTCTTGAAAGACCTTGGTTATTTCAAATACCACCAGGGGCTGGAGATGATTCAACAGTTAAGAACAGTTGTTCCTCTTCTAGAAGAGCTGGGTTCAATTCCCAGTACCCATGTCAGGCAGCTTACAAACACCTGTAACTCCAGCCCAGGAGGAAAATAACACCTCTGGTCTTAGGCACCTGCACTTTCCATGTGTTCATACCCACATCCAGACATATTAGTTTTACTAAAACTAATAAAATTTATTTTTTTTTGAGACAGGGTTTCTCTGTATTGTTTTGGAGGTTGTCCTGGAACTCGCTTTGTAAACCAGGCTGGCCTTGAACTCACAGAGATCTGCCTGCCTCTGCCTCCCAAGTGCTGGGACTAAAGGCGTGTGCCACCAACGCCCGGCTATAAAATTTAAATTTTAAATAAATACAATACAACCATATAATGGCATTTTGGCAAGACACTCATATCAGTAAGATATATAGGAAAGACATCAGTACCAAAATCCCTATGCTGAGATCTGATCTCTAAAGCTCATATGATACTTTCAGATAGAAATTCAGAAGGATCTTCTGCACATCTTAAGTCTGTGTGTAGTCCCACTGAAAAACTGTCATCTACAACTACACAGAAAGCCAATGAATGCAGTGAACAGAAAGTAAGAGGACAGAGCATTATAGCACAAGCTAAAAGTGAAGAATATTTATTAAGATAAATAAAACAAAATCAAGCAAACATGAAACCAACCAAAAAGAACTAAAAATGGAGGCTTGGGGATAGACTTATTCCACCCGGAATGTCCCTACAAAAATTAATATAGTATGCCCCAATAGCCAAAGTAAAATATCAGAAATACAATTCAGTCTTGGGTGCCAGTCTAGGTTCAAATCCCACCTCTGTTGATTATACTTAAGTTTGCCTCTTTGTAAAATGGGAATGTAATAGTCACAGGATTACAGTACAAATAAGATGTAGCCAAAAGTAAAATGCTTATAACAATACAGATATGGGTCAAATGCTTACTAAATGTTAAAATATCATTATATTATCATAAATCTGTATGCATGCACTGATAATTACAGAGAAAGAAAACACACTCAACAAAAATGTTGACTGGCCAGTCAAAGTGAAATTTAAATTAAACATCCCAGTTTATGAAGTGTTTTATTTGCCTTTGATTTAAGACAGGGCCTCGGGTAAACATACTGGGTTCTATCTCACACTGTAGCTGAATCTGGCTGTGAATTCCAAATCCTGTTTCTCCCCATCAAATACCGGATTACAGGCATTCAAGGCCACACTCAGTTATGAGTTTTTTAAAACTTCATTTAAAAACATCAGGTGTCCCTGATGTTCAATTTTCCTTTTGTCTTTACATCTGGACATTAGAGATGCAGTATAGTGTTATTTTCCAGCTTCAGTGTCCTACACTTAACTGTAACCATACTGTGGCCATATATTATAAGACCACAAGAACAGGCTGGAGAAATGGCTCAGCATTTAAGATTGTTGACTTTTTTTTTTTTTAAGATTTATTTATCATGTATACAGTGTTCTGTCTACATGTATATCTACATGCCAGAAGAGGGCACCAGATCTCATTATATGATGGTTGTGAACCACCATGTGGATGCTGGGAATTGAACTCTGGACCTCTGGAAGAGAAGCCAGTGCTCTTAACCTCTGAGCCATCTCTCCAAGCTCTTTACTGACTCTTTTTAAGTGGATCTCTGTTCAATTCCCAACACCCAACAGCTACCAGCTGTCTGCAACTCCAGTTCCAGGGCATTTGATGTCCTTTTCTGGCTTCTGCAAGCACCTGTGGCATGTGGTGTATATAAACTCAAGCAAGCATGCATGCACATACACATACACATTAAAAAGCAATTAAAATGGATTAATGTAATTCTGGATACTATAATTTCACTTATTTACTAGGTTTTGTAGATAGTCTCTGACTGAACAGTTTGACTTAAAGCTTACTGAATTGTAATAGTAGAGCACGATACACATTTAGCACAAGCCTCCTCTAGAGTCAGCTATGACGTCATCTCTAAGGCAGCCAACACTGTGCACAATTCACGGTTTTGCTCGGCTATGCTGTCCAGTAGGTTAAGTGTCATACATGCATTTTCAACTTCTGATATTTTTAACTTATGAAGGATTTACTCAGACCTAACTCATTCATGAGCCAAAGGACATCTGTATTTACAAATAAAAAGAAGCATCAATTATGAGGAAAAATAAAATTAAAGAAAATGATTACTGTTTGGTCAATTTTGACACATTTATGTGTATATAATCTCTAGTTAAGTCTGACATTTCACTTGTCAAAGCTGAAGATACAGAAACTTAGCAGCAAATAGCATTATAACATCCATGAGTTGTTTTACCAAGATATTTTAATGTAATAAACTCATCTTTGGCAAGGTTTCTAGAAGAAGAAAGAATTGGAAATTCATGTATTAATCTAACAATTGGGAATAATTTGATATGAGAATATATGATGAAAGCCAAGATAGACTGTACCATCAATTTTATACAGTTGTGTGTTGATGAGAAATGATACAGCTGTTTAGTTCCTCCAAGACTTAATTCTAATTGTTCATAAAAATGTTCACTACTGGAATTAATTTGCAGTGTTGCTGCTTTTATAGTTTTCCAAACTTATATACTGCAAATAGTTCCACCATCTCTCGGTAGCATATGGCTTCAGTGAGGTATATCCAGTTGTTGGGGGACTCTTTTGGCACTGACACATAGAAACCTGTTTTGTTGTTGTTGTTGTTGTTGTTTGTTTGTTTGTTTTTTTCAAGCTGGGTTTCACTGTGAAGCTCTGGCTGGCCTGGAACACACTATATAGACCAGATGGGTCTCAAACTCAAAGAGCCACCTGCCTCTGCTTCCGAGTGCTGAGATTATAGGCATGTACCATATGCCTGGCTAAGGAACATTTACTTCATCATGAAGATAAATTTCAAAGTGAAAATCATTCACTGATAATTTCTAAAATTATTCTAGATAACACAAATGAAGTGATTTTGTCTGGACAAGAGTAACTGTGGTCACATGACAGAAAAGGCAGTTGTTTCCAAGAACAGAAATTGTGATAATTCAGAATGGCACTTGTGCTTTTAAAAATACATTTTGAATAGTTCTATTCTCAAACATATTTATATATTAACTACCTCTATAATAAATTGTACCTCTCAAGACATTTGCTGACAAGTCATATTCCTTTTGTTTTCCATACTACACACGGCAGCACATAACATGCCCATTTCTGTTGATAAGGACAGCAGAACCAATGTGAATTTACAAAAGTCTGAATTCATTTCACTACTTTGAATTAATGCATGTGCAGACTACCTTTCAGCAAGTGTCAGAGAATCTGGTAAATGCAAACTGCATGAGAGGCTTTGGGCAATGCTTAAATAAGGCAACCACTTGGATGCCTCTTTTCTCATGCCTAGTCTGCTATGCCATCTCCTTCCCCAGCTGACAGTAATCTCACTTACCCAGTCTTTTGGAGGAGGTTCAGGAAAGTATTCCGACATGCCTGTAATAAAACCTCAGATGTTCCACTAAGGAATCCAGCTTGGAAACATTATCCTGTGCTAAGCATAGGAAGCTCATTATGTTCCCCGTGGCTAAGTGATAAGCTTCACTCAGAGTCAATTTTTAACTTTACTAGATCCTTTTAATTATCCGTCAACCTCTATAGTAAAATAAAATTTAGAGCAGAAAAAGATGGGGACTAGAGAGATGACTCAATGGGGGTAAAACACTTGTCACTCAAGCATGAGGATCCAAGTTGGAAACATGATCTTGTGCTAAGCACAGGAAACTCACTGTAAAAGTTGGACACATAGTAGAGCACGTTATCTGTCATCCCAGAGCTCCTACTGACAAACTTCAGGTGGAGACAGGAGCATCCCTGCAAGTCTGAAGGCCACCTAGCCTGGTGCACACATATTAACAAGAAAACCTCAAACAGGATGGAAGGTTGACAACCTCAAGTTGTCCTTTGACCTTCAAAGGCAGACTATAGTATACACATGCTCACACTAATACACACACACAAGGCCAAAACAATGTTTTCAAAGAGCAAAAAAAAAAAAAAAAAAAAAAAAAAAAAAAAAGGGAGAGAGAAACCAGGAAACCCAGGAAGGCAAGTCAGTATCTTCCTGGTCATGATCAGTTGCCCATCTGAGCTGGATCCGGTATCTACACCCTCACAGTTTACACTAGGTCACAGCTTTTGGCAGAATGCTTTGTTTCCTATTACAGAGGGCAATGCAATACACACGGTTACTCGATGTTTTCTTTCTATGTACATTTTGTATATATGTCATATGCATTTGGTTCCACCCTGTGACTTATTCAAACTCCTTGATGGTTTGTGACTCGTTGGGTTCCCCCTAAAGTAAAGCAGGGGCTTGCTTTACTGAGTAAAATTAACTACGCCACACCAAACCAAGTATGTACCATTTGCCCTTTTTATTATCCTTCAGGGGTCTTCCTTTCATCTCAACAATATCCTCCAATGGTGACATATATCATGGCTTTCTCCAGCCTCCTCTTGGCTTCCTCTTCTCTCTATCCAGATGATACATCACTGTCTATCATTTCAGCCCTGTCTCATTAGCACTCCTCCTTCCCTTATCCTGATGCCTTTTAATCTATTTGGTATGGTTAAAGTCTACCTATGAAGGCAGAGAAGTGTAGTTTCCTATGGCCTTCATTTAACTCATTTACAGCTGCTTAAGGAAAAAAACATAACTAAGCAAAATGGAACTTATCATAAATCATACACCGAAGTCACAGAGTGTCATCAATCTACAGTGAACCCCCTGTTCTATCAGAGAATCTTACAACTCTCCAGGTTGTTCGATTTCCTATATTCATTCTCCTCAACTTCAGAAGTTAATTTTGCCTTTCACTATGAATTTAAAATCAGCAGACAACATGCTTAGCTTCCAGACACCAAATCTCTAAGCCCACCTTTAGCTACATCAATCTCCTTTAATCAGTTTGCATTGAAAGGGTTATCACATTACTTATGCCCTGGAAACTCTATTCAACTAAAACTCACTGGATTACTAATCATTCCCTCTCTTTCCTGGATGCTTACCACTCCCCCTCTATTGGCTCCCACACATGAGCATGGCAACAGGCTCACATACTACTACAACAGGAGGAAAAGTCTCTCCTATTCCCAAATCTCCTGGACCTGGTCTTCTTTAACAACAACAAAAAAAAAAAAAACAAAAAAACAAACTTATTTTTTATTTTATGTGTAGGGGTGTTTTGCCTGCATGTATTTCTGTGTACCATGTGCAGGCCATATCTGAGGAGGCCAGAAGAGGGTGGCTGGATCCCCTGGAACTGGAGTTAAAACAGCTGCTAGCTATCATATGGTGCTGTAAATGGAACCTGAGTCCCCTGGAAGACCAGCTAATGCTCTTAACTGCTGAGCCATCTCTCCAGTACCAACATCCCCATCCTCTTCTCGACTAACAAATATCTAGGAAGAGTTTCTGCTTACACTCCACCTTTAATCCAGTGTTAGAGCTTCCACATCTATTGTTCTTCCAATGAGTTCTTGCTAAGAACAATCATGTGAGGGACTAGAGAGATGGCTCAGAGGTTAAGAGCACTTCCTGCTCTTCCAGAGATCATGAGTTCAATTCCCAGCAACCACATGGTGGCTCACAGCCATCTGTAATGAGATCTGCGCCCTCTCTGACCTGCAGGCAGAACAGTGTATACATAATAAATAAATAAATCTTTGAAAAAAAAAACCCAAAAAAATAAAAAACAATCATGTGACAAAATTCAAGACACAATACAGCTCTCATCATCAACCTGTCAGTATCTGAAGAGGCTAACTGCTCCTCCACTCCACCTTCCTTCAGTGAACACACATCCTCTAATTTTCCTTTCGTCTTTCTTATGTTATTGTCATCCTCCTCTTTCCCTTCCCGTCACCCAATTCTCTGGTTTTTTCCTTTTATATTTCTAAGACGTTGGGTTTCTCACACAGCATTCTGACTGGTGATCTCATCTACTCCCATAGCTCATCTAAAATACTTCCATTTCCAAACTCACTTCTCCAATCCACCGTCTTTCATCTAAGCTCCAGGCTCATGTACTCAGTTCACACACCTACAAGCGAATAATGGTACTTCCTCTCCTGAGCCTTGTCCAACAATGCCAATTGAGGGAAAATCCATCACCATGCTCAGGTTGGAACCCTGAACACATCCTTTTTGTTTTTCTCTGAGAGCCAGTTAATCAACTCATTCTGTTAATTCTTCCTCCTAAATATCATCTGAATCCATCTTTTATTGTTTTAAAGATTTTATTTATTTATTATGTATACAACATTCTGCTTCCATGTATATCTGCACACCAGAAGAGGGCACCAGATCTCAATACGGATGGTTGTGAGCCACCATGTGGTTGCTGGGAATTGAACTCAGGACCTCTGGAAGAGAAGTCAGTGCTCTTATCCTCTGAGCCATCTCTCCAGTCCCATGAATGCATCTTTTTTCCTTTATTCTAATTGCAACCAACCTAAAATTAGCCATTATCATCTTGCTCCTACAATACCAAAATTCTTACCCTAATGTAGAGCAGAGTCCAGACTCCATTACACAAACACAGCAAGACTAGCATGGGGAAAGTACAATTCTGATTATGTTACTTCCCTGTAAATGGTTCCTCACAGCTTAGAGGATTAAAGTCTAAGGTCTTAGCATCTGTGAAGTCTGCGGGATCCGCCACCTGGCTGGCTGTTCAGCCTCATCTTGCTTTTCACTGTCTGCACTCCCATCTTCTCCCAGGTTTGACCATATAATAACTGGTTCTTCAAGCATATCATACTTCTCATTTAGGGGCCTTCCATATTTTCCCCTCTATATACTCTGATACTCTGTTATTCTACAAACTAAATCCTATTCTGCATAGCACACCTTAAGTACAATTTTTCAGGAAACTAATTATTAAACATCTGGCTTATGACAGGTGCTGTGTTAACATATTCCATATGTTACCCTTATGCCTTTTCTATTTGTTTACTGAGAATCTTTTATGATACACAAGTGCTTTACCACTGAGCTATAGTCTCAATCTTCTACAGCCTTTCTAGATCTTTTTGTTTGTTTGTTTGTTTTGTTTTTCGAGGCAGGGTTTTTCTGTGTCTTTGGAGGCTGTCCTGGAACTAACTAGCTCTTGTAGACCAGGCTGTTCTTGAACTCACACAGATCCGCCTGCCTCTGCCTCCTGAGTGCTGGGATTAAAGGCGTGCACCACCAACGCCCGGCTGCCTTTCTAGATCTTACCTTGTTTGTAAAAACCTATTGTTCATTGAGCCTTGTTAATTATAAGCTTCATAATGACAAAGGCTTGATCTTGTCTTATTCATACAAGTGCCTGCAGTACCCTGCCTGGTGCCTTATATATAACAGGGTGTCTGTAAGTATTTGTTGAATAAGTAAATTGAAGATTGCAATGATACAGCAGATCTCAGAAGTTACCAATCAAGCTTTAAGAAATACAGTTCTGAAAGAAGAAGACTACATGTGCCAAATCCTTAGCTGGGAAGTAAGTGGTTTGTCAAAATAGTTCTTAAAATGCAAAACATAAAAGAAGATAACTCCCAAACACATTTTTTTTTTTTTGGTCCAGGTTGGTCTTTTGGTAAAAATACTTTAAAGCTCCAAAAATAAAACAGTGAAATGACATAGCTGTATACTTACACAAAGGCTAGGAACAAGGCTAGACAGATTGACGTGTCGTGGTGCAAACATGTGAAGCTGCTGAAGGCAAGAGATGGCAGCTGCCTGAACTAGAGAGTCAGAATGGTCCTGGGTGATCGCACAGCCCACCAAACAGGAGGAGCGGATGGTGGAAATGGTCGCTGCATTTCCTAACAGGAAAATAAAAGACGGTGTAAAATACAACAGTGTTAGTATCACGAAAACACTCCTGGGGTAATCATCTTCTAGATAACCCCTTCTTCCAATCATTATTCAGATTGCTTAAATAATATGAATTGTCCCCAAATATGATTTCAAAACACAACTGTATTTAAAGGTAATAATTCATGTTTTAGAAATTTATTCCTTTAAAAAGTCATACTATTGCTGGGCAGTGGTGATGCACACCTTTAATCCCAACATGAGGGAGGCAGGTGAATCTCTGAGTTCCAGACCAGCCTGCTCTACAAGAACTAGTTCCAGGACAGCCTCCAAAGCCACCTGTCTCAAAAACAAAAACAAAAAATCAAATAAAAATCATGCTATCCTTTATAACCACCAATCTTATGCTAAATTACAAGATTCCTCATTCTGCAGTTCTCTACTCAACAAATACTACTTTCATTATGAAAACTTTAAATACTGTTTGCAAATCTTTTAGAGGTAATTAAGGAAAATGTTACATATTTTTTTGTATAGCAGTTTAATTACCAAATATAGGTATCTGAAATTTTCTTCTAATGTGAAGTAAAATAATCTTTTTGTTTGTTTTTTGAGACAGGGTTTCTCTGTGGCTTTGGAGCCTATCCTGGTACTCTCTCTGGAGTCCAGGCTGGCCTCGAACTAACAGAGATCCGCCTGCTTCTGCCTCCCGAGTACTGGGATTAAAGGCACGAACCCCCACTGCCCAGCAGAAGTAAAATAACTTTATGTACATAAACCGTCAAGGAAATCATATAACCATGTACAAACATAAACCTTGGAGAAGGTCAAAAAGAAGTTCATAGCTCCTCTCTACTTTGATAGCCTGTCTGTAAAATGGAGGCAATACATATTCCTGAGCTGTGGCATCATTAATTGATGAAAATACAAAATTGACCTCCTCTTGAGTATTAATTAATAAATGGAGAGGGGAAGGGGAAAATTCCGAGTGTCGACTCTTAGGATATACTGACAATGACTCACTGAATTCAGTGTTTAATTCAACATCAGGAAGACCGTCTATGGGTGTTAGTATTCTGGCATCTGCACTGGCCTGCATGGGGTTCTGACAGGACACGCCCTCAGCTGCAGCCACTAAGAGCACTACCTGTGCACATTCACTACCTTCCCTTTTAAAAGGACCCTGCCCATCTGCCATCTCTCTCCCTTTCTCCCTTTCTCTGTGTCTGTTCCTCTCTCCTTTTCTGCCTCTCTCTCCCCTCTATGTTAGCTCTCTCACATGGTGTCTTTCTCTCTCACTCTGCTTTTTAAATTTCAAAGGCCCCAGTAATAAGAGCAGCAGCACAGGACAACAGGTCTTCTTTGAACTAGCTGCTCAGAGCCCGGTGAGACATCATGTTAGGGCTCACAGAGACTGAAGCAGCAATCAAGGAGCCTGCAGGGTTCTGAGCTGGGTCCTCTGCACACGTTAACTCATTAGCTTGGTGTTCTTGTGGGACTCCTAACAGTGAGAGTGGGGGGTATCTCCAACTCTGCTGGCTGATTTAGAGACTCTTCCTCTACTGTGCTGCCTTGATGTGAGGATGTGTGCCCAGTCTTACTGTGTTTTCTTATGCCATATTTGGTTGATATCCCTGGGAGGCCTGCTGTCTTCTGAGGAGAAATGGAAGAGGAGTGGAAATGGGGGAGAGGGAAGGTAGGGAGGACAGACTGGGAGGAGAGGAGGGACAGGAAACTGCAGTCGGGATGTGATGTATAAGAGAAGAAGTTTTTTAAAACGGTGTTGTGAGCCAGGAGTTGTGCTGTACACCTTTAATCCCAGCACCACAGAGGCTGTGAGTTCAAGTACAGCCTGTTCCACATAGAAGGTTCTAGGCCAGCTAGAATTGCATAGTTGAAGCCATGCCACAAAAAAGAAAATGCTGCTGTGGTATTTTAAAAATGGCACTGAGTGCTAGGTTTTGGAAAACACAAATATACAGTAGATAATAATTACTAAAAAGGTTTTACAAGTGACATTGAAGAAACTGAAGGGCAGTAATTGCCCATGGGCTTTCTTTAGGTTAAGATGAATTTGCTTACCTTGCAGTTCTGGTCCAACCGTAGTTATTATAGCACCCAAACACCGGCCCAGACACTGATGGACTTCTGTGTGTGAAGGTGGAACTGTCAATAGCAAGGTGAGAACTAGAGACAATGTGGGCTCCACATATCCACGGTACATTGGGCCACTAGAATCTACTATCAAGGCAAGTGAATGAAGAGACCAAGTCTACAATAAAACATAATTTTATTTTAGTTGTAAGGAGCAACTACAGTACACTGAATCAAGTATACTAAATTTTTTGTTACATTCAATATGCTTTGAGACAGAGTCTTGCTGTATACTGGGCTGCCCTTGAAGGTATGGTCCTCACGCTTTAGCCTTCCACTTGCCGTTATGTGGCACCATGTGTATGCTCTTACATGTGTATACTCTTACATGTGTATACTCTTAAAGTTTCATTTGCCCAAGCATAAGATGCTTGAGAAAAACCAAAGGTTAAAAAAAAAATACTCAAGGAATAAATTCGGTTCAATGACCCTAGAACCTGGGCTGTGGTAAAAGCAGAAGTAAGGGGGGGGAATGAGGCTAATTAGATATCAACCAACCTAATAATGAGAGGAAATGCAAAAACTAAAAATAAACAATACAATATGCTTGAAAGTAAATATGTGAACTATGAAAATTAAATTGTAGGTAAATGCATGGTGCTGGAACCAGTCTAAGTGCTACTGCGGACCCAGAAAGACAAACACCATGTTTTCTCTCATTTATGGAAGTTAGCTTTGAAGACACACACACACACACACACACACACACACACACACACACACACACACACACACAGGGTTTAATTCCCAGGATAAGGCAGACTTCGAAGATTATGTTGGAAACAAAACTCTTGCCAAAGGTCTATTACAAATAAACTCCTGAAATAATAAGGAAAAAGCATAATACATTTTCCTAACAACTTATCAGGCATAGATATTGTTTAAAAATTCTGTGTCGGGCACATGTTTGTGATCCTAGCACTCAGGAGGCTGAGGTAGGTGAATAGCAAGTTTGAGGTCAGCTTGGGCAGAGCAGGGAGACCTTGTCTCAAAAGCAAATGTAGAAAAATACTTCAATACTGTGTACCTGAACTTCAGGGGATGTCCCATCTTGAGCGAGAGCCAATAAGATGCTGACACTGGTCTTTAGGTGTTGTCCCGATCCTATGCCACCAACATAACGATGCAAACAACCAAGGGCCAGTGAATGACCAGTTCTGGATACAACGTCTCGAGCCGACTTCAGCCTGAAAAAAGATGATGCAACAGGAATCATTTTCTCCATTTTCCTTTAATAACTGTCTGTGACTGAGAACATGCTCAGTGTGTACAGAGTCCTAGGTTCAATCCACAGTGCCAAGGAAAAAACTTGCATCCTGAGAATACACAACACACTTCTTATTTTACTTAAGAAATTTCCTGTATTTTGTTTTGTTTTTGAAGTGCTAGGGACTAAATCCACATCCTTGTGTACACTAAGCAAGCACTTTATCACTGAGCTATACCCAGCTGTTTTTAATTATGATCAAAGTCTCTATAAAATGGGCAAATTTCTACATATGTTTTATATACATATAAAAGACTTATTTTTATTCACATGTAGGTGAATTACATGTGGGTACCCATAGACACCAGCAGAGGGCACACTGGGTTCCCAAACATGGAGTTACAGGTAGTTGTAACATGCCTGGTGTGGGTGCAGAGAATTGCACTTCTGTCTTCTCAAAAAACAGTCAGTACTCTTAATTGCTAAACCATCTCTCCAGCCCCTAAGATGTATTTTAATAAAAATTTAAAAGTAAAAGAAATATTGCATATAAATTTTAAAATAGTTTACAATGAGATGTACTTACTATGTAAAACTCATCAATTGCCCGGGGCTAGCCTCAAACTTAAGGCAATCCTGCTTTAGCCTTCCAAACATTGGTATTACAGGTATGAGCCATCACACCTGGGTTTAAAACTCACCAATTTAAAGTGTCAAGTACATAATGATCATTGGACACTGTATGTAACCATCACATAAAAACCATTGAACAGAAATGTTCAACTGAAATACAGCACACACATAACTTCTAAAATACTTGTCTCAAAACAGAAAAGATAACAGAAATTAATTTTAACAAGGTACCAACAAAATACTAAAATATCATGATGCGATTAATAAATTACTGAGATACTTATACTGTTTTTCAAACCAAGTCTTAAGATCTGATGTAAAATATATACTTAGCAGTATTCATCAGTTTGGTGGAGATGTGTTTCAGCTATTCAGTAACCAAATCAACTATGCTGAGACCAAAAACTCTATTTCCTAATTATGGATACAGTGGAACCTGCTCTCATGCCCCTTCCCGGAGGAGGGACTACAACCCTCAAACTTTGAGCCATAATACATCATCCTTCCTTAAGTTGCTTTTGTCAGGGATTTTGTCATGGCACCTGAGACATTATCCTATAACCAACCAGGCTGCCATTCATATGTGAAAACAAGGAAAGCTATTCTCAAAATGTAAAAGTTCAGAAACTACTTTTAATTCTTTCTCTCTTGTTAATGATTATGATATGGATTAATACATTTAAATGTTCAAAATACATGAGGTAAGAAGGATGATTTATGTGACTTGTGTGTTATTTTGTGGCCTTTTGATTTTTAACTTCTCTATTTAAGCACCCACACAACAATACTAAAAACCCTATTTCTCATCTCAGTCATGCTTGTTTGGACCTCTGAGGTTACACCTCATAATTAACATGCACAATAATCTTTCAAACCTGAAGTGTAACTTTCTTTTCTCCTCTACGTGAGGTCTTTTTCCAGGAAGTAAAAGAAAGAGCAAACGGGGGTAAAGCGAGGCAGAAAGTACAGAGTAAGGCCACAGGTGCCTGTGGGTGACGTGACAGGAAAGGGCTGACTGACTTCTCAGTTCCAATAGGTAGATGAGAAACCAGGTCCTCCTCAAAAGTCCTTAACATATTACATCTCTCCCAGAATTGAGAGGTCCACAAATTACTGAATTAAAAATTAAGATTATTAAACCATGTAGAAAATACATAGTCTAGGCAACAATTTCTGACTGCTTAAAAGACATCTTAGACTGGTTGAGACACTTCTTAGGAGAAACACTTACTTGTCGAAGCTGTACTGGGCCATCCGAGCAATAAAAGATGCCTCTCCCACCACCTGAGCCATTCTTCCAAGGGCTTCCCCTGCTGCACACCGTAAGATGGGGTTTGGGTTGTCAAGAGCTCCCATAACCAGTGTCAGAGCAGATTTACGAACTTCCTCAGGTCCTAAGGTACTCTTGTTTTCAGCTAAACCCTATATTGATTTTTTTTTTTTTAAAAAAAAGAATAATACTATCAATTCATAATTCATGTTGAAGGAAGTCAGATGTCTTTACACATTATACATGGTACATCTGGGGCTGATACCGCTAGATGGACTGTGATCACTTCCTAAGTGTGACTTCAGGATACAGTAATTAATAATCAGTAGTCCCACTGGCCCTAGAAACACAATCCATGGCAGAAATTTCTACTTAAGTGCTAATATTCAATATTCATTTGGGCGTAAAGGACACTGTAAAGTTAAATTGAGCATTATTCAGCTGACTAAATGTCAGTATTGTAATGAGTATGAAACTGAGTTTTTTGTATAAAAATTCAATAAACAACATGTGGGGGTGGGGAAAAACAGTTTGTGGCTCCAAGCTGTGGTCCTGGCTACTTGGGAGGATAAAGCAGGAGGACTGCAAGTTAAAGGTCTGCCTATCTACACAGCAACCTCAAGACCAGTCTGGGATACTAGCAAGACCCCACCTCCAAATAAAAATGTAAAAATGGGCTGGAGAAGGCTCAGTGATATGTGCCTAGCACACACTAAGCCCTGGATTCTATCATCAGTGCCACAAAAAACTAAATGAACACAACAAAGACCCTCACAATTATGTATAAAGTGTACAATCAATATATATGTAAAGACAGATAGGGTGGCAGTAACCAAATGCTGACGTAAGTTAGTTTTCTGTTCTAGCTGTACCTGCTGCTTTGGAATTTGTCTTTCCTGAGATGAAAAGCAAGCAATGGTGCCAGCAGAAAATGTTAACTAGAGCAGAGGCATCAGCCATTTCTATGTAGAAAGCGCATTCTCCACTGTGATGTTGAGCCCACTGTTCTCCCAACCACTAAGAGCCATGACCATCTACCTCACTGCTTTTTTTCATACTCAGATGTCAGTGTCAGTCTCAACTTAGGGCATATATCAATGGCTACACAAGTAACCCCAAGGTTATTTCTCTAACCAATGCTTGCTTTCCTCTCCAACACCACACTAGCAAAGCATGACTTAAGGAATCCTTATTTAATCACCTGTACTTTTGTTATGCTAAACTTTATTATTACAGCACCATTCTATAATAGCCCCAGCACTAAATAATATATAAAGGTTTTTAAGTAACCCACAAAAGCCTGGATACTCTTGATTCATGAACTCTGCTGAGAATGAAGCCAGTTCTGTAGTTAATCCAGAAAACACTCCCTACACACAGCATTCTCTTATTTATGAAACACATGCTCTGCTGATTCAGTTTAAATCACAAGTGGAAATTAATCTTCATTACAAAACCAGATCTCATTAAACAGACATCTCAGAAAATCACCAAAGAAAATTATTGGTGCTTGTAAAATTTGAGGTTCAAACTGAAATGAGAACTTTTAAATTACTAAAATAAAAAATACTGATTTAATTATAATAAATTCCATACAGTTTCTAGTATATATATTACATTAACATGAAATCACCTTTATCAAATGCACGCACATCAAAATATAAGCACTATAATAATCTGGCTATGACTGGCTTTTACAAACACAGTAACATCTTTAGAACATTTGTGCTGTTCTAGGAGTCTACCTTCAGGGCACTAAGAACGGCAGTAAATATATTCAGCTGCACAGCCTGCTGGCGGACACCCTTGGCTTGCTTAACACATTCAGCAAAGTGATCCAGCATTTGTAACCTACAGTAATAGGATAAGATCACATTAGTGGTTTTTAAATATGGCTCAAAAACAGAGATAAAATGTAAACTAATTATTTATCCGTTAAGTCCCCAGACTGTGTCCATTTCATCCCCATAGCTGATTGAAAACTGACTTTTACCTCCTGCATCAATATATACTCAGGTAGTTAATCAACCAGAACCAGAAAGGAAACTCAATACTAATTTCAATTAGCAAACTAAGTCATAATTTCAGAGGTCTTAAACATTTATACCAGTGTATCCAACAAAATTTCTGATTTATAGTAACACTTATTCTGACTTACAGTGACACTCAGTACTGTGAATGTCCCCCCAGATGCCTATGTAGAAAAGACTGGATCCCCAGAGTTATACTGTTAGGCGGTGAGGTCATCAGTGCACTGGGGAAAGGCCCTGGGGCAGCAGTGGGACCTTGGCCTCTTCCTTCTTTCTCTTGTATTGCTTTCTAGGCATTCACGAGCAGTGTGGCTCCACACTGTACCTGCACCATAATATGCTGCCTTACAACATCATGGAGCAGAATCTACAGCCAAAATAAACAGACTCTCTAGATGTTAACTCTTTCAGTTACTCTCAAATGACCAAGGTAGGGCCCATGAGCTTCTCTCTCTCTTCTCTTGTTGACAAGGTCTTCCTATGCTGCTCCAGTTACCCTTCAACTCTTCCTCCTGCTGCTTCAGCCTCCTGAGGACCCAAGTGTCACAGACACATGTCACTTCAACTGTTCTCCTCAAAGTATTTTTAACAGATCAGAATAATCATTATCTATTTCTGCAGATAATTTTGAATTAAAAAGAAAAGAGTGACATAATTTTAAATACTTTTTATTGCATACTATGTATTTACTTTGTGTGGATGTATGTGGATGCTTATGTACCAGGTGAGCATGTGGAGGTCAGAGGCCAACCTGTGGGAGTCAACACTCTCCAACAGTGACAGTCTCGGGTTATCATGGCAGCAAGCCTCTGTACCTGCAGGGCCATTTCTTCAGCCTTTGTAGAATTTTTTCTTTTTTTCTTTATTATTTTGATATGGGGTCTCTCTCTATAGCATAGGCTAACCTTAAACCCCATGTAGTCTAGGTTCTGCTTTTGTTGTTGCTTTATCTTTAAAAAAATCTTACTCCGGGATTGAAAGATGGCTTAGCAGTTAAGAGCACTTGTTGCTCTTGCAGAGAACTCAGTTTCCAACACCCACATAGTGGCTCACACCATCTAAAACTCTAGTTACAGGGAATCCAAAACCCTCTTCTGATGTACTCTGGCACCAGGGACTCACATGGTACACATACAGACATTCAGGAAAAGCACACATACACATAAAATAAAATAAATAAACCTAAAAACATTCTAAATACTTTTGTTTTTTGGGTCTTTTGTTTGTTTGTTTGTTTTGGTTTTTCGAGATAGAGTTTCTCCATGGTTTTGGAGGCTGTCCTGGAACTAGCTCTTGTTGACCAGACTGGTCTCAAACTCACAGAGATCCCCCTGCCTCTGCCTCCCGAGTGCTGGTGTAAAAGGCAAGCACCACCACTGCCCCTCCATTTTAAATACTCTTACATGGAAGGAAATTGTACCCCATATTCTGTCCTATCAGAAGCTATTGAGAGACTTAGCTTTGGGCAATTTTGTAAATGTAAAAAAAAACAAAAACAAAAACACACAACAAAAATACTAACTAAAAGTGAATTTCACAACTAGCTATGCAACTTTGGCAAAACCACAAAGTCTAGGGCTTGAATGTGTTTAGATTTAAAGCAAAGATGTTAAGTAGATATAATTTAAAGTTTTTTCAGCTTTAATGTCGTTTAACATTTATGTGGTAATCAACTGTACATAAAGAAATCAAGCTTAAATATGAAAAGCAAATAATTCAAAGCAATTCATCAACATCAAATAACCTACATGATTAAAGATATATTCTCTTTTGGAGATAAACAATAATATCTTAAAGCATGTTTTGTAAAAGTTAAGGGATATGAAAGGATCTTACATTAATTCAGTTTTCCCTTCTGGGAAATCACAAATATAAAAACTGCTTTTACAGCGGTGGAGGTTGTGGATGTAGAACACAGCAGGACCACAGTCCCCTGCTACAAGAAAGAACAGCTATGCTGGGTTCCTGTGTTCCAAGCTTGCACCATCTTACTGACCCATCCAATAGAGTAGACTTCTCACACACACGTACTTGTTCAGTAGGAGAACGATCAAGAAAACAGCTCCAATTAGAGGTACATTTTAATTTAGAAACTGTCAGACTACTGAGATGAAAACTGTTGGGTAAAACATGATCCATAAAACAGTAGGTACTAGTTGCAAGTACACAGAGCTAAATCTTAAGTATCAAGTTACAGGGAATTTGCAGCCAATTTACTTTATCATGTACATATAAATTATGCCATTAAATTCATAAGAGCACTACTTAAGTAAAATCTGTGTTATAGTGGAATTAGCTGGGATGGAAAAAAAATCTACTCTTTTTTTGGTTTTTCAAGACAGGGTTTCTCTGTGTAGCTTCGGAGCTTATCCTGGCACTCACTCTGTAGACCAGGCTGGTCTTGAACTCACAGAGATCACCTTCCTCTGCCTCCCGAGTGCTGGGATTAAAGGCGTGCACTACCAACACCTGGCTGGAAAAAAAATCTGTTCTTAAATATAATTTACTTTTGACTAAAATTACCCAGCTAACTTTACACTAACCTGTGTTTATAAGAAACATGTGGAAACACAACACCAAAAAGAGCCACGGAAGCATCGATCACCGAGACTCCAAGAGGGAGAGGGCCAGGTACGGCTTCACCAGCAGGGATCCGTAAGTAAATGGAGGAAGGATCGTGTTCCAGAGCCCCACTTCCAGATGCACTGTTCGGCTGGAGCTGCAAGAAAAGAACATGAAGATCACCCCAAGAAAAGGACATGGAGATCACCCCAAGAAAAGGACATGGAGATCACCCCAAGAAAAGGACATGGAGATCACCCCAAGAAAAGGACATGGAGATCACCCCAAGAAAAGGACATGGAGATCACCCCAAGAAAAGGACATGGAGATCACCCCAAGAAAAGGACATGGAGATCACCCCAAGAAAAGGACATGGAGATCACCCCAAGAAAAGGACATGGAGATCACCCCAAGAAAAGGACATGGAGATCACCCCAAGAAAAGGACATGGAGATCACCCCAAGAAAAGGACATGGAGATCACCCCAAGAAAAGGACATGGAGATCACCCCAAGAAAAGGACATGGAGATCACCCCAAGAAAAGGACATGGAGATCACCCCAAGAAAAGGACATGGAGATCACCCCAAGAAAAGGACATGGAGATCACCCCAAGAAAAGGACATGGAGATCACCCCAAGAAAAGGACATGGAGATCACCCCAAGAAAAGGACATGGAGATCACCCCAAGAAAAGGACATGGAGATCACCCCAAGAAAAGGACATGGAGATCACCCCAAGAAAAGGACATGGAGATCACCCCAAGAAAAGGACATGGAGATCACCCCAAGAAAAGGACATGGAGATCACCCCAAGAAAAGGACATGGAGATCACCCCAAGAAAAGGACATGGAGATCACCCCAAGAAAAGGACATGGAGATCACCCCAAGAAAAGGACATGGAGATCACCCCAAGAAAAGGACATGGAGATCACCCCAAGAAAAGGACATGAAGATCACCCACAACCTCCTTTAGGAAAGTCACCCACTAAGAACTGCACAGCAGATAGAGCAGTGGAGGAATGACATGTCATCAGGCCTAACAGCTTTACGCAGATGAAAATATAGTTTTGTCATTAAAATAATGTCATTATCAGAATCATCTTCTGGAGTCATCAGAAAAATCATGTTCATTTTATACACTTTTATATTACCCACTTTAGTGTTCAAGCAAAACTGTATCCATTGTTAACAAAACCCACAAAAATGATTTAAGCAGATTTGTTTTTGTTTTGAAGACAGCTTCTCCCTATGTAGCCTTGGTTGGTCTCAGACTCACTATGTAAACCAGATTCGTCATGGACTCATAAGAAACATATCTGCCTCTACCTCTCTCTCTGTCTCAGCCTCCAGCTCTGAAAGACTGGGATGAAAGGTTTGTGTTAACATGCCTAGTTAATTTTTTTTTATAAAAACAATTTATTTGGTTCTAAATATCCAATTTATTAACTCTCATTTCTTCCTAACCTGTTACAAAACTAAATAAAACAAAACACTAGCAACCAAAAAGCCAGTTAAATCTGAGTTTTGCCATAGACACAATTGAGTAACTAAATACAAAGGATACTGAATGAAGACATTTTGCTAAATTTTACTACTACTATTGACCTTTTCATCATTTATCCACCTCTAAGATGCTAATAAGTATCTAAGAAAGTGAAATGAGTGTTACTGTGGCCCAGGGTAGCTTCTTTTTAAATGACAACGTGTCATAGGAGCACTGTTTTAGATTACACTAGTAATTTCATTTCCTTGTGTGTTTTACTACCTGGTCTTCGATTGACTTATGATCAGTTTCTTGAAGCCAGGAACCCAGAAGAACACTGTCATCATAATGGCAGAGGGACCGAAGGAGGGAGGTGGTTGTGTTGGCTGAGTTGTCAGTCAGAGTGAATTCTGCTACCAGTTCTCTGAGAAGAGCATTGAAGGATCCTAAGATACAGAATATCAGAGCAGATTAAAATAATAATTTCATGTCCACAAAGAACAGAACTGTGTTTAATAGGAATAAAGTTAGTTTCCATCCCTTTGTAAACAAGCCATACAATTTTTTCTTTTCCTTTCTTTTCTCCCTTTTTGTTCTAGCTCCCCCCTCCCCCGCCTCATTCCTATCAAGACAGGCTCTCACTATAACTGCCTTGACATCCTGAGCTCAAGACATGCCCTACTTCAGTCACACAAGCAACTGGACTACAGCTACATGCCACAATACAATTCTCACTCTAAAATTTATACTAAATATTTTAATATGAATTTTCCCCCCAACAGTTCTGAAAAGTCTAGGGCTTCATGGTTGCTAGGTAAGTGTTCTTCCACTAGGCTAGATCTCCTTGTTCTTTATTTTTAAATAATTTGAAGGACAGCGTATCACCAAAGCCAGCCTTAAACTCATGCCGTGAACGAACAGGTCTTAAACTTATGACCCTAGTGTCTAAGCCTTTCAAGTAGCTAAAACTACAGGCCTACACCACTAGGCCTGACATATACTAGTTTAAATATACAATAATGATATTTTCATTTTTAGTATGATATAATGCAGTTTAAGTCCAAACTAAAAGTAACATAAAATGCAAATAGTGAACAGAGCCTTCATTTTAAACACATTATATGCTATTTATTTATGACATTATTAATTGTCCAATACATGCAAACACTGAATAGTACCCACCAAAGCTTGTGGGCTTAGTTGTATTAGAGAGAAATTAGTGGTTTGATATTATTACTTTATATATTTCATTTCTGCCAAGTAAACTATTATCCTCCCTTCAAGGACACTTAAACTATGTTACAATGTGTATGGAGTAACGGGTGTGTGTGTGTGTGTGTGTGTGTGTGTGTGTGTGTGTGTGTGTGTGTGTGTGTATGTGTGTGTATGTGTGTGTGTATGTGTGTGTGTGTGTGGTGGTGGCAATTAAATATAGACTCTGAGGGCAAATCATCTGTGTCTGAATGGAAATTGCCACTTACCAGGTAACACGCAGGCAAACATTTTTTCCTAAGATTCTTGATCTACAGAATAGGTGTTTGACCTCTTAAGTTGGGCCAGCATCACAGCAACATAATAGAATACATAAAGAGCTTGGAATAGTAGCCAGACTATGATAAAATCAACAAATTACAAATGCCTTTATGTGAAGAAAAGCAAAATGGTGGCCTTCTTTTGCGAAGCAAGTTTGAGAGGGAGTCCTGGTTAGAACTCTCATACTATGAAGAACCTGAGAGGCATACTGAAGAATTTTTATCAGATACTGCACATTTTATTTACCTTCGTAAGTTTTTGGAGGTAATAAAGCCAAGATATCATAAAGTCTTAATCGGACCATTGCGGCACTAGCTTTCAGGTGGGCTCCATGGGCCTTAATTACAGACGGAATGCTACAATATCGAAAGTGAAATTGGGGTCAGTTAGTTGTTAGAACGAGTATTACTTATAAACAATTAACATGGTCATTTAGCAATGCACTGAAATACTTCCAAAGTACAGTGATAAGCTAATCTGTTTTCAGTTTGTTTTGTGATCAAAATAAAACTAACAGAAACACTTCAGAATACGTTACATTTTAAGCCACACCATTAATACAATTTTTAAATTGTAAATTTTATTCACAAAATAAAGTTTAGATGCTTTCTATATAAACTGAGAAGTACAAAAATGCTAACTACATTTTTATTGATTAATATATAAAATAAGGTGTCTGTGAGGGTCAGATCTTGAATCATTCAGTACATGGTGGGTGGGCGTGGTGGCCCATCTGAAATGCCAGCACTTGGGAGGCAGGCGCAGAGGACTCTCACAGCAAGCTGGCTAGAAAGACTAACAGCATTGGTGAGCCCTGGGTTCAAGAGAGAGTCCTGGTCTCAATATATAAGCTGAAGAGTGACTGAAGAAGACATCCTATATCAACCTCTGGCCTCCAAACGTATGTACATGTGAACATGCATACATACATGCACACCCCACAAACACATGCAAGATGTCAACTTCATCCAAACTGTTTACTTACTGTGACATCATGGTCATGGCACATTCAATAGGAGTCATTAATTTCCTAATTGCATCCTCAGTTAAGAGCTCAGGACAATGTGCAACAAAACTTCTCATGGCTAGAGAAAAATTTTTTAAAGATTGAGAGATTTTAAGCATTATAGAATGGTAAAGACATCTATAGTTCTCTAGCTGGGTGATGGAGGTGCACACCTTTAATCCCAGCACTCAGGAGGCAGAGACAGGAGGATCTCTGTGAGTTCCAGGCCAGCCTGGTCTACTGAATAAGTTCCAGGACAGTCAATGCTACATAGAGAAACCCTATCTCAAAGAATAAAAACAACAACAACAACAAAAAAAAAACCCAAGACATCTACAGTTCTCAATTACTATAAAATAGAAGGTTGAGAAGTCATGTAAAACCAAAAGAAAAGGCAGAAACAACTACAGAAAAAAAACTGTCAGGAGAAGAATGGAAATTAGAAATGGAGGGAGGAAACTATGTTAGGGAGATTGTGAGTAGAAATTCAGATGACTACAAAGAAAGCTGAACAGGAGTAAACAGATGGCCCACAGAGAAAGAACTTCCATCCTTATCCTTTAGCAAAAGAGCTATGCCCAAGTATGCCTCAGATGTGCAGAAGTACACTGGCACCCACACCTGGCCACCGGACCCCAATGTGTCTCTCCAACTTTGGGGCAAGAAGCATTTTTATGCCAGGAGAAATGAAAGCAGAAGAGAGGCCCACTGCAATTCTATTCCCAAATGAGTAAAACCTGAGCTTCTCCTGGAACTTGCTGACCCCAGATGAACTTACTCTAACACCTTTTTGGAATGCTGATGTTTGAAAAGCAGTAACATCTGCACAGTGGAAAATGATATCAAAAGAAGTGTTTTCACAATGCAAGGAAAGGCAGCTGCAGTCAGCAGAAGAGTTTCTGTTCCTATGCTGGATATGTGATGTGGGAAGTGGTGCTTCAACACCAATGGATGTGACTGCAACTACTGAGAATAAAGGGACATGGGTCCCAGTCCCGAGCAGACACTGCCACTACACCTCCCAGCTGCTGGTTCCATTTTTATTGCACAACAACAACAGTTAGCTACTGTTGTGATAATAGCTTGCTATTAGGAGCAAACTAGAGTATCTTAGAAAGGCTCTGAAGTCTAAGTGGCCACATACCCAACAACAGATATAAAAACAAAAATGTACATGTGAATTTCCATCATTTACAAATATTTCAGTGACAAAAGCAGCACTAAATAGTAACGTAGGAATATTCTGAAAGTACGATGTTTTCAGTTCTTACCACATAAAGCTCCAGCACGGCCTTCCAGCGTCACCTGCCAGGTAAAAGAGTCTCCCCGTGCTTTCTCAGCCTCCAGTTCCTTTAAGGAACGGGGGAAAACGTTTCGCCACAACAGCAACATCTTGGGTAGGTGGTAACGAACAACAGAGGGTCCTAAGCAAGAAAACAAAGAACACAAAACTGCAATTATACATAGACAAAAACAGAAGTCAAAGAGAGTGAGTTCCACTGGGCGTGACGACGCAGGCCTGTAATCCCAACGCACGGGATGTGGAGGCTGGAGGATCCACAGACATGGCAAGCAAGCATCAGCTACATAAGAGTCTGAGGCCAGCCAGGGAGATTTGTTGAGATCCTCTCAACAAATTAAAAATACAAAAACAAAAAACAAACCAAACAAAACAACAAAAGCAGAAGCTTTCCCAACACCTCTGTCATTTCACTCTATTTTTTATGTTTAAAATTAAATTTCAGAATGCTCTTCTGCAGTGGGTAAAATAAAATAGGTGCCAAGACACAATAAAAGTTTCTTTAAAAGTTAGTATCCATGTATATAAGATGCTACTGAAATTTTCCTTGAATACAGTCAGATAGTGTGCTCCATATTATCCATAATAATATTTGCTGAGAAATTTCCCACAAACACATGTGAATATGAACACATACACCTACTTGCACATATACAAGTACGTGCTCCTCCACTTGTGGGCAGTGTGAGGTTAGCTACGTGCAGAAACACGATATTTACATTCCTAAGAAATTCATTTAAATGTACCATTAACATACTTTTAACATAAACTTCTGGAAAGAGTTACCACTTTATTTTCTTTAGAGAACAGGTCAATGGGCAGACTGTAAACAGTGGAGAACTTCTTAGCATGCACGTGCACACTCTGTGGGAGCAGCTGAACTAACAAGTGGCTCTAGTCATCACTATAATATGTACTTCTATCCTATGCACAAGGCTCAACTTTGTACCTAAGATTTATCATAGCGCTCAGGAAAACTCCCCCAAGCATCACCACCAAGGCCGCAGAAACGGGACTTCTCCACTATTAAAACCATGACTCTGCTCAGGCAGTCCAGTTTTCTCCTCATAGTCCCTCTCCTTCAGCAACTCTAAGCTCTTTAAATAGATGATGACTACTCTTTTGGGAAAGGTGAAACTTTAGAAAAGTTTGAACCAAAGAAGTAATTACCAAAAAGAGATGTTTACTCCTGAATAATAGATAATACACTTTTATATTTTTAACCTCAGTTACAGAGTCAGCCAAGATGCTCATACCTAAAGTCATGAGTGCTCCAAGCAGAAGCCAGCCAGCTTGGGTACGCTGTAGAGACAGCCTGCTGTTTTGGGCAGCAGTCCGTAACAGGTCCTCAGCAATACTGACTACCATCTGCAAGAGAAGTTGATGAATAAGCAGTAACAAAACAGGCAGCTTATATATATTACTACAAACAACTGTCCCTTCCAGTTCTTGCTAGCATGGTCCCAAAGCAGCCTGACAGAAAGCTACTGTTTCAGCATGGATGGTTCCTGGGGACCCTAAGTGTGCTGGGCAGAGTAATCTCTGGAGCCATACTGCCTGGTTCTATCCTGACCCCACTGCAGACAACTAAAATCTTTGCCTTAGTTCTCACCTTGGTAATACAGGAGTGTCACCCTCACTTTTGCCAGAATTGAATATGTTCATATGGGACTACAACTGGGGCAAGCCTACGTAACCACTTAATATATTATTTGTTGGTACTATTTATTATCCTATATCCAAGAACTTGTTGAACTGCTCTGATGCACCTGCCTTTAAGCTTATCTTTTTTTTTTAAGATTTTATTTATTTATCATGTTCTGTCCACAAGAATCCCTGCAGGCCGGAAGAGGGCAGATCTCATTTCAGATGGTTGTAAGCCATCATGTGGTTGCTGGGAACTGAACTCAGGACCTCTGGAAGACCAGCTAGTGTTAACCACTGAGCCATCTCTCCAGCCTTGCCTTTAAGCTAACCTTACAGAGCACAGAGACTAGACAGCGCAGATTCAGGGAGAGTGAGGGAGAATGGAGCATATTATTAAACAATAATGTTGTATTGAGTAGTGATGGTCAACAGAGAAAAAGCTAACATAGACCAGGTGGTCTAGTGAGAATTCAGAAAGAAGGTTGAACCTGGGCCTGTAAATAAATAGGCTGAAGTTTGATAGAGCAAATAAGAAATTTTACTGTAAGAAAGGCCTGAAGGCTGAAAGGGCATTAGAAAGATCAGGAGGGCTGATCTGAATAGAACAGAGGGAATTCAGAATGAAGAGGCAGACTACAGATTATGAGTTCCAATTTTCTATCAATCAGACAGAAGATTGTATTTTATTCTGAGTATCAGGTATCCCCTTAGGACCACCAAACAAATGTGAAATGATGTGAGGAACACAGGAAACAGGACAGTCCAAGGAGGAAAAAAACAATGAGGAAACAATCAAATTGCAAAGATGACAAAGTCTTAAATCCTTAAGCAGCGGCTGTATGGCAGCCAAATGTGCCAGAGCAAAGGAGAGCTTAAAACCAAAGGCAGTGACTGCCCAAGTTAAGCTGCAAATGATATTCATACACACTCTTAAGAGTCCTAGAGAGGGGACTGGAGAGATGGCTCAGGGGTTAAGAGCACTGACTGTTCTTCCAGAGGTCCTGAGTTCAGTTCCCAGCAACCACATGGTGGCTCACAACCACCTTGAATGAGATCTTGTGCCCTCTGCTGGCATGCAGGCAGAAGACTGTATACATAATAAATAAAATCTTAAAAAAAAGAAGAGTCCTAGAGAATAGACAGTATTATACACTATGTATGTATATAATAGCAAGATAGTCAGTAGTATATACTATGTATATATACAGTATGTATGATAGTAATATATGCTATATATATATGTTAGTATACTACATAGAATATATACTATAGAGTATGTACAATGATTTTAGTATACACTATGTACACATATAGTATGTATGATAGTAGTATATGCTTTGTGTATATATATTAGTATACCACATAGAATATATACTATAGAGTATAATTATAGTATACACTATGTACATATATAGTAGTATGATAGTAGTATATGCTATGTACATATATATTAGTATACTACATTTATACTGTAGAGTATGTACTATAGAGTATAATTATAGTATACACTATGTATATACATAGTATGTATGATAGTAGTATATGATATATATATATATATATGTATAGTAGTATATTACATATTACAGAGTATGTACTAGATAGTAGTATACACCAGAAAGAATGGCAATGGCTTATTAAAAACAATTTAATTTCTAATTATTGTCAAATACTAAATGTAGCAATAGATTATTCTCTGCCACTTTTAGACACAGCAGTGTAATATTTTTATTTTTAAAAACTGAAAGAACAGGGGCTGGAGAGATGGCTCAGAGGTTAACACTAGCTGCTCTTTCAGAGGACCTGGGTTCAATTCCCAGCACCCACATGGCAGCTCACAACTGTCTATAACTCCAGTTCCAGGGGACCTGATACCCAGCACATATAAAATAAAAATTAATAAATTAAAAAAAGAAATTCCTTTAAAAAACAACTAAAAGAACACTAGGCCCAGTGGCATCTAACTATAGCCTAGTTACTCAAGAGGCAGACACAGGAGAATTGCTTAAACACTGGAGCTCAAGCAACATTTGCACGCACATGTGCGTGAGAGCACGCACATATACACACAGATACACCCCCTTCCTCCCTCCCTCAAAAAAAAGTAAAGGTTCTAAGTTTTAGATGATTATTACATAGTTGTTTTTCTTCTAAAAGAAATTATAACATGATACTATACACAGATAAAAGCTATTGTTCCTAGGAAGACTAACTACCAATTTCAGTTAGGGTCTGTTAACTATAGTGTACATTTCCAGTTGTGATCTGATTGCCTGGCTCAGCATTAAAGACTGCGGAGCCCCAGTAGGAACCAAAACCCACCTGCCAGCATGCAGACTTGTGTCATACCTTTCCTTTGGCATGAGGAATGCCCAAAGGACACTGATGCACTCCACCCAACAAAGCAGCCATTGCAAAACTGTATCCACTAACAGCTTCTGGTGAAGTCTTGAGGTTGTTGAGCCGTTCTGCACATCTATCTAGAAATGGTGTCACCTGGAAGGGCAATGCCACAGCCACACAGCGTAGACACCATGCAGCAGCAAGCCGAGCAGCCATGCTTGGGTGAAGAAGCACGGATGTCACAATCTCCAAAAGTCCTAGAAAGAAAATCCAAAACGTTACTCCTTACTGATGAAAAATGATTTCAGTATAATGTAATAATTAAAATATCAATCCCTGTAATTTCACAGTTCCCTAGCTTTGCCAGGAAGCACATATGTAGTTCATAAACAGTGGAGTACTTTAAAGGAACAGAGTGTACAAAGAATATAATTACATCCAATGAAATATAAAAGTTGAAGATGGAAGTAAGTGGCAGCTTATGCCTGCAATCTCAGCACTTGGGAAGTGCAGGCAGGCAGGTCTTTGGGTTTGAGGTCATCCTGGTTTACATACTGAGTTCTATGCCAGTTAGAGCTACATAGATATTCCTCCAAAAAGTAAATAAATGGAGTTGCCATAAAATTATATTGTCCTTAGCAAATCTTGGTCAATTAGAAACCTTTCTCACAGTTAATTTGTCTCTTGAAACTTTAATATTTAATTCAATATCTCTATTACTATGAAGATTAATTTAAACAAAAGCCAATCATCTGCTAGTCATGATGATAAGTTACTATGAGTTAAATACCGATCACAACTATATTCTGAAAACATTCCAGCAAGCCCTGGATGTCGCACCTATGGATGCTTCTTGAATAAGAGGAGAGGCAGTGGCATTCAGGCTCTGCACCAGGCTCCCAAGCTCCTGGAGGGCACAGACCATGACGTGCTGGCTTGCTGCAATGTCTGCGGCTCCAGACTTGTTCTCACTACTTGTATCATTCACCACAGCTTCTGAAACACAAACACAAAGGGGGTGAAATAAGTTGTGATTGTCTTTTAATCCATACCATTTGATTTCTACATGTTAAAAACCATGCAGTTATTTCTTAGTGGCAAACTCATGTAACTAATACTGATCTGAGTTGGCTTTAAACTTTTTAGGAGCAGGGACACAGGAAGTCACAAAACAACTTGCTGGAATTAGTTCTCTCCTGCCACATCTGTTCTAGGGACTGAACTCAGGTCATCATGTTTAGTGTCACACACCTATAACTGCTTAGCTATCTTGCCAGCCCTGACGTGACATTACAACACTGTTGAATAGATTCACAACAATGCTAAAATACATACTGTATATATTTGATGCTTCCAAGAATACAACTTAGGAGGTACAGGAATCCACCATGTTTTACCAAAGCAGACTCAGAGACAGGGATGTACCTCAGTAATAAAGCACTCACCTTGCATGCTTAAGGTATTGGATTCAATCCCTAACCCTACAGAAAACAAACACAAACAAATAAACCACCAACAAAAGCAGACTTGGGGGTAAAAGACTTGGGTTCTAACAGCAATTTCATGTAAGCTCTATGATGGGACATGCTACCCAACATTGCTGTGTCAAGTTCCTGTAAAGGGACTTCCTTCACTGTCTCAAAGCTACTTGTGTTGACTAACCTTAGGTTAACAATGCATACACAGAAATTAACCCATCCTGCTACAGGACACATTCAGTGAGTATAAATAGCTGTCATTGATAATTATTATTATTACTGCTGCTTCAAGTGCTGCAATATACCAGAGGCTTCAAATTACTGACAAGAAAGTAGATTCAAAAGGAAGTGAGTTCAGAATTTACTGCTCCTTTTCCCACTTGCTTTCATGTCTCTTCCTAAAGCCTTTTAATAGCCACTAGAATTAAAATGTATCCCACGTGAGACAACTAAACATGCCTTGACAAACTACTAATTGAGAATACATTCTGGCTCATAAGTCCCTGATACAATCATGTCACTTAATTCAGTAATTAGGATTTTTATGGTCAAATAACTAATCTACAGCCATAAAGTTAATAATCCTTCAACCACAGTAAAATGTTCTCATTTTTTCATTCACTATGAACTGATAATAAAGATATAGAATACAGAATGATAGACAATCATTGATCCCTCTTTCCTTGTGGGCACCCAACTGGAAGGTGCATGAACTCCATCTTTCAGGTACTATAGCTGGCTTACCCAGGTCATACCAACCACTTAACACAAGGCTGCTGGCACTGAAACACTTGAAGCAACATGTGAACCTACCCCACTTGTGAAAAATCATATATATACTTAGGCATATCTAAAAGAGCAATACCTCATTAGTTCAAAATCCCTTCCATCAATAACTTTCAGTTATCCCTATGCATTTAAAAAGTTTAAGCTACGAAAATGACAAAAACAGGTGGTAGAGGCACATGCCTTTTTAAATCCCAGCACATGGGAGGCAGAGGCAGGCGGATCTCTGTGAGTTCAAGGCCAGCCTGGTCTATAGATCGAGTTCCAGGACAGCCAAAGATACACAGAAAAACCCCATCTTTAAAAAAAAAAAAAGACAAAACACATAACCAAACTGTACATTTATTTTGTTAATATTGTAAGACAGTTAAATGATTACATATACTAACTATATGTAGTTACATCCTTATTTTTAAAGACCTCCTGGAGCAATATAATTTGCCTCATTAAAAATTAGTATCTATTTCCAGTGGTGGTAAAACTAAATTGTCTTACACAATTTATACTTTGCCTTAGATTGGTCTGCTAAGTACATTATATACTCTACAAAGGCAGGAACTTTGCATCACTAATTTAAACCTTGTCAGTGCTCTTCATAGCTCAGATATTTGATACTACCTATGAAATGGCCCCTTCTGAAAAGGGCTTCTTTTCAGGGCTACAGCTGAGTAGAAGGAGTAAGTTTTAAAGTCCTGTAGTACAGGACTGCAACTGTGTAGAGACAATCGTGGACTATAAAATAGCTAAGAGACAGGACGTGCGAGTGTTTCCAGCAGAGACAGCTCACGCATGGCTTATCTAAAAACTGATTTCTTAAAACTTTGAACTGTTAGACCCCCCGAAAACTCAAGTATCTGGGGTCCCAGGCCACGTGCACGGTCACCCCGATCACCAGGCGGATTTGAGAGCTTGCTGCAAACTGCACGAGGCTTTATTGTAATTTAATGAGCTAACCCCATGTTAGCTCGGGTCTTTCATCCACCCACCATGGAGGATGGCTAGAAAAAGACGACTCCTAAGGTCTCCCAAAAGATCTTATAGGGCAGCGTAAGGGGAGTGTCTAGGGGGTATGCACAGGCTTACGCACAGGCTCACGATTGGTGTGCTTCCAGGCTTGGAGGGCTTGCCCTGTGTTGATTGGTCAACTGGTTGTTATGGCCCATAGGCCCTCCCAGGGTGGTTGCTATGCTCTCTACGTCATTGCTGTGCGCTTGTCTGTAAAGCACACCCAGGGTCGTAAAGCATAGCGCCACCAGCTAACTTCCGATTGGCTCCTTGTCACGAGACAGGCATCTGACCTCTAAGTGACCAAGGCAGGATTATGGCAAGCACGTGTTCGACTGTTATGGCTGCCAAAAGGGAAGCCGGTTCCTTCAGAACTACTAAGCTGGGCAGTGGTAGCAGATGCCTTTAATCCCAGCACTCAAGAGGCAGAGGCAGGTGGATCTCTGTGAGTTCGAGATCAGCCTGGTCTACAAGATCTAGTTCCAGGACAGCCTCCAAAGCCACAGAGAAACCCTGTCTCGAAAACCAAAAAGGGGATAATAGTCATCTGTGACTATTACTTTCTAAGTCTTCAGTTTAAGCCTATTAGAGAAGTAAAAGAAAAACAGCAAAAAATGCATATTTATACAAAAAGAGACTTCAAGCAGAAAAATGACAACAGATACTCTCACGAAGATAAAAAAAAAAAACAATATGCTAGTGCATTCTGGGAAACTTAGAAGTAGCCCAGGCACTAGCAATAAAACCAAAACCCACACCTTACCAGCAAGCTACACTTGGTTTCAATGCAATTATACGATGCTTTAATGTTTTTTAAAGGACTCAATAAAAATGACTCTGAGGAGCTGGGTCAATGACTCAGGGGAAAGAGCACTGGCTGTTCTTGTTCTGGGTTTGTCTCAGCACCCACATGGCGGCTCACCACTATCTGTATCACAGGCCCCCTGTGAACTCCACCAGCACCAGGCATGCACGTGATGCACATAGCTATTTTCAGGCAAGACATTCACTCATTAAATAAAATGAGTTAATCTAATTTAAAAATTATTTTTAAATTACTATGAAAAAACAGTCCCAAAAGATACAAATCAATTAGAGATGTTGATTTTTAATTAAGAATGAAAATCCTAGCACTTACAAGACTGAGGAAGGAAAATTCCAAGTTTGAAGAGAGCCCAGAACATGTGATGAGACCCTATCCAAAAACAGGAAGGAAGGAAGGAAGGAAGGAAGGAAGGAAGGAAGGAAGGGAGGGAAGAAAGGAAAAAGGGAAGGGGAACTAAACTAAATGGCCAGGGTCATCAATCAGCAGCACACACTGTGACCTCAGTTTTCACTCACCCACTGCTTTCATCTGTTTCCCGATAGCCTGGCAGATTTCCTTGGCAGCTGCTATCTGGGCTTTCTCCCCCAACAGACTGCCCACGGTGGCTCTCAGGATGAAGGAGACACAGCGCCTTGAGTACACGGCATCCACATGTGTCTGTGTTGCTCGAGGATGGGAAACCAGATCAAGCACATGCGACAAAAACGTTGCAAAGCTACGCTCCAGCCACTGACCACCTAATGCTGTCACAAAGACCACATATGCCTATAAACACATTAAGACACAGCCTTAGATATCTCTGGGCAAATGAACAGAAAGTGACTACAGAAACAATCATGGCAGATTACGAAAAGAAGTTAGACTTGAGATTAAAGCACAGCAAAGTGAAATTTTCCCTCTCTCTCACTGTCTCTCTCTCTCTCGGTTTTTGTAGTCAGGGTTTCTCTGTGGCTTTGGAGGCTGTCCTGGAACTAGCTCTTGTATAACAGGCTGGTCTCGAACTCACAGAGATCCGCCTGTCTGTACCTCCCGAGTGCTGGGATTAAAGGCATGCACCATCACTGCCTGGCTAATTTCCCATCTTTCTAAGACTCCTGTCACAGGAATTACTAGTAAGATCTCTGAATGAAACAATTCTTGTTTCGTTTTTGTTTTATCTGTTTGTTTGTGAGGCAGGGTCTCACTGTGGAGCCCTAGCTGGCCTGGAACTCACTGTGTGGACCAGGCTTGAACTCACAAAGACCCACCTGCCTTCACTGGGACTAAAGACATGTGCCACCATCCCTGTATTGAATAAAACAATTATTGAAAAGAGACAGGCATGGTTTTGCACACCTGTAATCTCAGCATTCAAGGGGATCACCTCAAATCCAAGGCAGCCTGTACAACAGACTCTCAGGTCAGCGTGGGCCACACGCTGTATCTAAAATTCCAAACCAAAAACAAAACAAAAGATTCTCAAGATAAAGCTACCCATGAAGAACATAAAGGGAGTGTGTTGAGGGTGGAAAGCAAAGTTAACTTCCTTCAGGGTCAGCAAGGTAGTAACACATGGGAGTAGAGATTAACATTCCAAACAAACACCAAGAGCTGCAGTGCACCTGCCGGTGACATCCAAGACAGCCCCCCTCGCTCCATCTCACATCTGTTTCAGGGACAAGGCACCACTGAGGGGACTTTGACTAGGAGCATGAGCTATGCTATCTTACCAGATGTTATTAGATCAGTAACCATTAGTTATTGTTTTGAAATGAAAATTCCAAGTCATATTCCATCTTCTAATTCCATTAGAGATTAGTCACTGACAAATCCTCATGCATAAATCAATTACTTTTCCTTTTTTTTTTTGGTTTTTCGAGACAGGGTTTCTCTGTGTAGCTTTGGAGCCTATCCTGGCACTCGCTCTGGAGACCAGGCTGGCCTCAAACTCACAGAGATCTGCCTGCCTCTGCCTCCCGAGTGCTGGGATTAAAGGTGTGCGCCACCAATGCCTGGCTATTCCATGTTTTTATTTTTTGAGACAAAGTGTCCACTATGGAGCCAGGCTGGTCTTGAACTAAGGACCGGCCTGCCTCAGCCTCTGGTGTGCACTATCATGTTAGACAAAACTTATGTTATAGCATGTGTTGTGAAATGAAATCTGAGTTTTGTAAAATATACAGAGTAGAAACGGACTGTTAGGCTGGGGGTGTAGCTCAACTGGCAGGGAACTTATTTGCCTACCATACATAAGGCCCTGGGACTCAAAACCCAGGATCTCCCACCTCAAAGAACACAGAAAAGAAAAAAAGAGAATCAACCTTTTCTTACAAGTATATGATGAAATCTGGAATCTGAATTAATCAATTTATTGGTTAAATTTTTTTAAAAGATACCAGACAATATTGAAATTTTTCTTACATGCTGTTATGACAGGCTTCCATGAAATGATCTGGACAGATTTCACACATATATATTACAAACCTGTGTCACTCCAACTCTCACTTCACGATTAACAGAGCCTCCAACTTTCAACATTTCTCCACCACTCTTTAGGAAACCTGACCCTCCACGCAGAAATCCTGTGGCCATGAGTTCTAAAACCTCATCAAACGTTGCTCGCTTCACGTTCTGACGCATGACTTTAAGAAAAGTGAGTTTGAAAGCAAATGAGTTTCCAAAGAAGAATTACTAATATTTCCAATATTCTAGCTTAAGTTTTCAAGTAATGTTTTTTTAAGAGTATTATAATATAGAACGGGTCACAGTGTCTTAGAAACAAAAACTTGAATTTATTTTTGTAACAAAAAAAAAATGCTAAGTGGAATAAGCTAGGAGATAAGGCAACTTGGTAAGTCTATGCAAGCAGTGTGCATAATGACGGTGACTGAATATCTGCAGCCCAGAAGGAACACCAGCCAGCATTTCAGCCACTGCTGACAAAATGAGGACATAGAGAAGATTTTTTGTTTTTTCCCTAAAGACTAATTTAAATCTTATCTATGTGTAAGTGCATGTTTCTTTCTATGTACACACCTTGTGTGCAGGCACCTACAGAGAACAGAAGAGGGCATCAGTCCCCCTGGAACTGGAGTTATAGGTGGTTATGAGCTGCCCATTGTGGGTCTAAGGAAAGAAATCAGGTCTGTGGAAAGAATAGCAAGTACTTTTAACCATTGAGCTATCTCTCCAGTCCCCAAAAACCCACATAGCAGCTACCAATGCATGAAACTCCAGGTATCAAAACGAATATTACGAAACCCTTTCTCACACAGCAGCAAATACGATCCTTATGCAGATTCTGTGGAGATGTAAAGCTCATGTTAATGTACACAGACTTAGAACTGAGTACTTGGGTTTTAGTTTCATGCCTAACACAATAGAACACAAGTTACACAATCTCTATAAGTTGCAATTTCCTCATTTATAAAATGACAATAACAATGACACTTGAAATTCATAGGGATTTTTTGATCATTAAATAAATTCTACAGTATAGGTTTTATATAGCATTTAAACATGCTACCTCACTAGTATCATATAATGAAAAAATCATTGCTGAAGACGAACAAATCAAATCTCAAGCAGCCACTAACTATAAGAGACAGGAAACAAAGCTATCACAACTAATTACTTTGCTGCCATATAGAGGTGGGGTAAGGTGGGAACAACAGTAGAGGGGTCACTCAGCTCCTGCTCCATTATGTTTGTCCCATGGGTCACAACCATTCCCAAGACATCTGTGGAACAGCGAAGCAACAAAAAAGTCACTAAGCAATCAGTGCTGCCCCGACACTGCTTAGTAAAGTTCAAGAAAAACTGAACATTGGCACTGTGATATAAATGGAGCTCTATATATCAGAGACTGAAAGCACAGAAGACGCCAGACTCCTGTCCTCTAAACATTATTCCAGTAGGATTTCATAAATCCTACTTGCAATGGGCCAAAATTTTGCTCAGTGTTAATGTGTACACCACTATCACAAAAATGTACTAGGAAGAGTGTCATTTAGGTTCTTTCATTTGAGGAAAAGGATATCTAACAATTTAAATCTCTTTGAAGTGGCCTCATGAGTGATAACTAACTTAGAAGAGAGAATTTTCTAAGCCTTCAAATATCTCAATGGTCTAATGCAGCGTTAGCTAACAACAATACCTGTTGCCTGTTTTGGCATCAATGCTGTAGCCATGACTGTTCCTAGGAGTTTAGAGACTGCGACCCGTACCCCATAATTTGAGTTTTCTAGGGCCTTAAAGCAAAGGGTAGCTATATTTTCTAGTTCAGCAGTCCACATGAACACAGCTTCATTCTGTAGTTCCAGAAGACACTGTAATTAAAAACAAGGCAAAAGGTAAATTATATTTTAGAACTTCTGTGTCCACAGATGAAGTAACACAACCAAACTCATGCTTGCTTCCAGAAATACACAAAGAACTGGACATAACATATGAACAGTTTTCAAAACTAGATATCAGGCAATAAAAGGAAGTCCCTTTAAGGAAAAAAAACACACGTAATATCTTAGAGTAAGCAAAGATGGAAGTAAAGACAGAAAGGAAATCAGCAATCTAAAAAAAAAATCAGTCTTGGCTCACTGGTTGTTTGGGTTTTTCCCCTATTCAGTATTGGGAATTGAAACCAAAACCATGGCCTCATATTCATAAGGCCATGAGCTACCACTGAGCTACAGGACCAGAAAAACAAACAAACAAAATATAATAGAAATGAAACCACAGCCACCAATTAATCTGATAAATACCTATCTAATTGATCATGGAGAAGAAAAAAAGAAATTACCAAAATTAAGGAGAGAAATAAAAATGACTACAGATTTACAACTCACTCAACCTATAATAGATAACCTGAGTAATATATATTCCAAAATTGACTTTGTAGTTTAAAATAATATACACTAATTAATTCAGCCACATGCTTATGAAAAAAATGCCACTTCTATATAAACTCTTCCAGAAAACTTTCTCAATTATTCCATGAAGTTAGTATGTGTCAGGTCCTGACACCTCATAAAGACACTCTGAGAAGAAAAATCAGCTGAAGAGATGCCTCCATGGTAAAGAGCACTTGTTTTTTTTTTTTTTTTT